TTCCGCACAGAAATGACGGGATCCTTCATCACGATAATGCTCGTGGCTGGAGAAACAACAACCATCTCCCAACCGAACCCCCCCAAAGAAATTAAACCCACAAGAACACTCACAGGCCTGTCACGGTCGATGCGTGTGAGCTCCTGCGGCTCTAGTGCTTCGGGCTTGCTGCCCAAATAGTCGGGCTTTGGATGTGGGATTTCAGATTTTAAGTTGGGCTTAAGTTGCTGTCGGCTTTCGGGAGTTGTGTGCGGCTGGTTTGGGGATCAAGGCATGTTCAGGGCTCTCAACTTGTGGGTTTAGGCCTGGGTCTCGGCTGGCAAGCCGGGAAGACTCTAGCAACTCAGTGCCAGTATAGAATGCTGCAGCGTCTTGTGAGGCTGCCATTTAACGCTTGACTCTGAATGCAAAAGGTCTCAGGAGCCAGGGTCTCCAAGGCTTACGGCGTTTAGGGTCGGTCTTCAGTTCAACCTTCAACATTCAGGCTCGGGCTGGACATGCTACTCTTCAAGTTGAGGCTTTACGCTTTTTAATCATTTTGATGGAGGATATGCATTCTTCAGCAACAGCTTTGAGTGTGCCCAACGGCACATCTTATCTTCTTAAACTCGCGAGAACGCCGATACATACCCTGCGGTTTAAATCCAACCTGAACCTCACACTCTATTCCCCAAACCCTGCCTGAACCAAAAGCGTGCAATTTGTTGAGCCGCCGAGGCTGGCGAGTTTTACGGCTTTAAGGCTTTGGGGAGCTTATGGCGTCTAGCTCAAACGGTTTTAGCTTCGGTTTTTCATGCTTTCACGGTGTACTTTGTGCGGTGCATGGTATAATCTAAAAATGAAGTCGAAGGATGAACCATTTAGGGTACCATTGCATCGGGCTGAAGCTGGGTATCGTTGAGCAGGCCTCAACCTCAAACCCTTCCTCCGAAGGCCCCAAGCCCTGAACTCCAAACATGTCATCACCGCGCTTTCCCAACCTGGGGCCCAAACCACCCAAGTGGAAAAACATGGAACAACGCCAAAGCCAAATTTATTGAGCTCCTTCCGCACGCCCAAGATTTTCATCAGCTGGTGGACAATCATGCCTTCCATCTCGCAACCTCCACGCGAGGCAGAAACATTACTTCCCGGCGTTTTGCCTTACAGGTGTAGTTTCCGGTTTCAGGATCCAGGCTGGGGTCGTAGTTTCAGCGTGTTGCGACTCCACACCCACCACAAGCCTCAAGTCCATAAAACGTGAGGGTTGCAGATGGGGTATGCAACCCTATGAAAGGACACCTACGGTGCCCCACTCGAATTCACTCGCATTCGGGAAACGGACTTTCGGTTTTCATGTTCCAAACACCTGGCCGCCAGCCTGACACTGACACTTTCTACTTAAAACCATGTGCAAGAATCGACCAGGCCTACTAAGCCCTGGACTTTACCCGTATGTCCGTTTTCGTTAGCCGGGTTGCTGTTCATGTGTAGCCTGGTAAACGAATGCCGTATCACATATCCTCCGAATATTCGGGCATTTGGGCATTTCCGGAGCAGGATCGAGAACGTTTACGCACCGGCTTATCGTGTTTATAGGGTTTCAAGTTTAAGAACAGTTCGTGCTACATGGCACGCGCGGTATGAGTGTTGCTGCCCGCACTAAAGCTAGTACGAGAGATTACGAGATGTGCGGTTGACATTAACATTGCGCTTATTGTGCTGTTTCTGCATGTAAATATCATGTGTGCTTTTCGATTGATCATTTTTTTGCGATTCACGCATGACGGTTTTTGGTTTTCATACATGGCGACGCGACTCAGAACTGTTGTTGAAGATGGAAGCAATGTAGTCTTGATATACGTTCCATGGACACATTGAACCATAACCACACTTGAGCTGAATTGAATCTACATTGACGTTGCAAGCTCTGTATGCGATAGTATAACAGTTATGCATTGCAAGAATGTCACACGGTGCGAAACGCTACAGGTACCGCCAACATCTTGCAATATCCATGTACAGCCTGACAATTGCACATGCGCTTACGAACCTTGCAAACACCGTGTAGTGCCACTGTGCAGCGATTCCAGCACTCAACTTTTTTCAATGCAGCGCACAGGGTTGCTGGATCGGTGCCCGAAAAAACGCAGCGAGCGGCTTTGGCTGCAGAGGTTTGGGCAACCATCACCACCTTAAGTACAAGTCAGAAGTGAAAACAAAAGCAACTGTGGTGTCAGCAAACACACACCCCGAAGTGCATACCCCGTAGCAGCGGACAATGTCGTGCTGGCGGTGGTGATTATGAATGTGTCGGTTGTCATACGGAATGTGCTGCTCTACAGCTTTACAATATGTATGTACGCATGTTCGAATGCGTGCATGTCCGTACGTGTGTGCGTATGTTTGTACGTCTGTATGTGTGTGTGGGTGTGTATGTGTTTATGTACACTAGCATGCGTATAATGTCCAGAGAGAGGCAGAGAGAGAGAGAGAGAGAGAGAGAGAGAGAGAGAGAGAGAGAGAGAGAGAGAGAGAGAGAGAGAGAGAGAGAGAGAGAGAGAGAGAGCGAGAGAGCGAGAGAGCGAGAGAGAGAGAGAGAGAGAGAGAGAGAGAGAGAGAGAGAGTTAGAGAAAAACAGAGAGAGAGAGAGAGAGAGAGAGAGACAGAGATAGAGAAAGAGAGAGAGAGATAAATAGAGAGAGACAGAGAGACAGAGAGAGAGAGAGAGAGCAAAAAAAATCGACAGAGAGAGGGAGAGAGAGAGAGAAAGAGAGAGAGAGAGAGAGAGAGAGAGAGAGAGAGAGAGAGAGAGAGAGAGAGAGTTAGAGAAAAACAGAGAGAGAGAGAGTTAGAGAAAAACAGAGAGAGAGAGAGAGAGAGACAGAGATAGAGAAAGAGAGAGAGAGATAAACAGAGAGAGAGAGAGAGAGAGAGAGAGAGAGAGAGAGGGGGAGAGAGAGAGAGAGAGAAAGACAAAAAGAGAGAGGGGGAGTCTATGCACAGCAGCATAGCCCCGTGATTCAGCATGCGGGTGTTAGTAGCAGTAGCAGCAACATATGTGTAGAATGAAACAAGAACTAGACGAAATGAATCACTCTAGACTCTAGACTGCTACCCCTGCCTGTTTAACCCACCCACGTAAATTGAAGCTCAGAAAGCAGACGTGCGAAGTACACGATTGCAAGATACGTGGGTGAATCAGCTTGTGCCGCCAAAACCAGAGCAGTTTTTGCGCACCAAATTGCATTCAGATCCAAGTCTTGCAGCATCTGCTCCACACAGCTCAAGAAGCGCCTCTTCAGTGCAGCCAGAGCGAAGCAGTTGTTGATTAACGGATTTGTCGGTCAGGCATTTTTTAATTTCAACATTACACCCATCAAACTCATTCAGTGAGGAAGCACTGCCAAAGACCACAACCATCGTAATACGCTTCAACGCGAACCTACTGCCCTATGTTCGAATCAAAAGGGAGAACTGCCTGCGCCATGATTGCGCCAAGAGCCAAGGCAACTTTTTGGATCCTCATCTCCTCTGTTGTGGTCTCCTTCTCTGCCCCTCATTGAACGTGCAGCCAAGCTGTTGTCTTTATTCTGGCTGCAACCCTGGCCAAACAAGCCTCTCGCCCGGCCCGCGGTCCAAGCACACCTGATCAAACCTTGTGCTGGTCTGCTTGTCCGTTCGGCACCGGTGTCCTCCCGACCGTGATGCTCGTGATCTTCCTCTTCACGATTCAGCTGCCACGGTCCTGCAGGAGTCCTGCGATTGCTTCATAGCTAAAAAACCATGTCGCCAGCAGCTGAACCAATGAGTCCTTCCAAACCTTGACGATTTTGAAGTCGCGCTCCAAAACTATGAAGTTGTTCCGGTCCTGGCAAGAACATGAGACTCGACGTGGCCGTGCCGATGCACACTCGATCTCGCAGTTCTCGATGTGCTGTGTCGCAACCAAGGTCGGTGAATTGTGTTGCCCTGAGGAAAACGAAACGTGATGACGTTGATGATGAGGGTGACGACGATACAGAGTATGATGGTGATGCTGATGATAGTGATGAACATCACGTTCAGCACGATGGATGACGATGATGATGATGATGATGATTGTGAGGGTGATGATGACCTTGACAGGATATGGCGAATCTGACGATGATGTCGGGTATGATGCCGGCCAGATTGGTGACGAAAATGTTTGTGATGCACGCCATTCCTGTGGAGGTGGCGATGATGATCACTCGACATGTCACCGAAAATCTTGCGATCGTGTGCACCTACAGCCGCGCTTATCACTGTCCATCGTCGTTCAACCGCTATACATAATATCGTGGTCTTAGTGTACGAAAGCCAGTGCACGCAACATTAAGCATATTAGCACCCTCGAAGGAGGATCCCTCCAGAACAGAGGCCGATCTGAAGATCACGCCCTCATGAAAGGAGGTTTTGGAATGGACGGGAAACCGTCTGTCAATAAAATCGGCAACGCAATCCAAATCAACCCATACTGTAAAACATCTACCTCCTTACTTGTAATTTGCAGACATTTTGCATAGGTCCGGTAACAACACTTTTCGAAACCTTCCGAATACCGCAAAAATCTCCATAAAGCCTTTCCAAGCCCCCTTCAAATCAACAAACCCTTGCAAAGACCATCTATAACTCAAAAACAGTTTCTGAATTTTCCAAAGGTTGTGGGGTTAGGATTTACCTTACCCTTTCGAAATGAGTGGTTGCCAAAATCATGGTCCTTTTTTGGTGCCCCTAAAAATTAGGTGCCGTATCATAATAAGGATCCCAAAAGGGACCCTAAGATTGACAAACGCCCATATCCATACATGTCCCGAAATCTCAATTCCTATACCCTAAACCCTCAACTATATGTAGAAACCATAATAAGGAACCCCCTGAGGGTTCCTGTGATAAACCCACAACCCTTACAGCCTTCCTAAAACCCGTAAGTTCGAACCCTTTCGAAATACTCTAAAGGCGTTACAATCTTGGCAGCTCTCAGGCGTCTCCCGCTGCGATCAGCCGAGCAAAGGCTCGAGGCTCTTGGAATCTCGCCGACCTGAGAATCTGAATTCCCTACTTGTCGGGTATCATGGGGAACTAAAGGTTAACCTTTTTCGTTATATAGGGATTATTTAGGGATTATATAGGGACTATACTACCCCAAAAAAGGTTACCTACTCTGCTACTAGGATTTATGGGAGTTACCGTTGATAGTGCTTAGGTTTTAGGTTTTTGGGTTTTTTGGGTTTAGAGGTTTCGGGTTTAGGGATTTAGGGGTTAGGGGTTTATGTTTAGGAGTTAGGATTACGGATACCCTTGGGGATATAGGGTCCCTTGAAGAGAGCCAGAAGTAGGTTTAAGAAGGGTCCCCTTAAAGGGGTCTCCCGAAGACTACCTATGAACATTCAATTTGCCCGAAAACCCTAAAGCCACCAAACTTTGTCGTTCCTTTTGGTCTTCTGAGTTGTCCTTTAAGCCCTCTGAAAATTATCTACCACTGGTTCTTTACAAAATACTAGGGGAAATTAAAAAAAGATCCCAAAGGACAACCCAGTCGTAGAAGGTTCATAGTATAGGGCTGAGGCGTTTAGTGGTTTAAGGGTCAGGATTTAGGGTTTAGGGTTAAGGGTTTAGGGGTTTAGGGTTTAGGGATCAGGGGGTTTACCATTGTAAGGACAAATGTTCGAGGAGTTACCAACAAGATCAGCCCTGAGACGATGAGGCCAGCAAACGGGATGTGCAGCACTATGTCGTTTAGGGTTTAGGTTTAGGGTTTAGGTTTAGGGTTTAGGGCTGACGTTTAGCCTGCGGGATGAGAGCTTGAACTGGACGTCCTGTACTCTGGCTGTTAGGGTTCACGGCATAGGGCTATAATATCTAGGATGCCCAGTAACCTAGGAATAAAAAGGCCTCTCTTTTTGGTATTGGGTAAGTTTATAAGGAACCTAGGACTACAAAAAGGGAATAAGGGTACTATTGGGCATCCTAGATATAGTTGTCACATACCTTCCAGCCATCGCTAAGACCAAAACCGCCCTGGCCGTCTCTACTACCACCACCATCACGACAAGGTCAGTGGAAACTGCTGCTGCTGCCGCTGCTGCTGCTGCTGCTGCTGCTGCTCCTGCTCCGCACTTCCATGCTGCCTCAACGAAAACTACGACGATTAGTACATCGCCCTTAATAATTAGAATAGGGTTTTGGGTATATTACACTATATAATGTGGTATTACTATCGCTGCCACTGTTGTAGGACTCTCTAAAGCCCTACAGAGCACTAAAGCACTGCAACCCTTAAACCCTGAAGCACTAAACTCTGTAACTCTCTCACGACGCCCGAACCTGGTTCAGGATTATTTCGGAGGATAGGCTGTGGATGGCCTGTGATTCTACTATTTCGGCTTTAGGCGTTTAGGGTGTAGGGCTTTAGGGTTTAGAGTTTAGGGTTTTGGGTGTAGGTCTTTAGGGTTTAGGGCCGTTTAGGGTGTGGGGTTTTAAGGCTGTAGGGGTCGTAGATTCTATAATAAGGGGTATTCTGGGGTGTAATACGGGAGCCTTATTCAGAAAGCTGAAAGCCCAAAGAGGTGTGGCCGAACAATCAACAAAAACACAGTACATCGTATATAATCACTTTGTAATAAGGAGCCCGGGAAAGGCCCCGATAGCATCCCCACGCCGAGCCACTCCGGCCACGGGCAGCCCTTCTCTGACAACACCTGGAGGTTCAGGATGCCTTTTCTCTACACCTCTTTGGAAACTAACCGAAAGAGAGTTTTGTAGAGCCCTAGCAAAGAGACTCTAAACCAACAGATCAAAAAAAGCTGTCTAAAAAGACATGGCCGAGAATAGCCCCTAAGATTTGCGGGACCAGCCAAGAGATCCAAGATCCTAGCACAAGGGGCCTAGAGACTCCAATATCCCTTAATTAAGGAATATTCCCTAAAGTATAGTAGGATCCCTAATATGATTTAAGGAATATTCCTTAATTAAGGGATATGGAGTCTCTGGGTACACTGGATGATCCTTTTCGAGCAGTAGCGAGTGTCACACGAGACTCGACTGCTTAAGACATGAGGCCCAACACAATGCTCCGCGAAGGCAACATGCAAACGTAGTACCATACTGTTGATGGACCAAATCCTGCATTACCCATTATCAGGAATATACCATAATTCCCATTGTTTAGAGTCCTTAGATTCATGCAGGATTTTGTCCATCAACAGTACCACGCACCATATTGAAATTTGGAGGTCTCCTTGACCCTAAACTTAAGGGATCCTCTCCTGTGGTTTCTTGGGAAAGCTGGTCCGAATTCAAAGGGTCAACAACACGAACACACCTGCACCCTGCCGAAGCCCCAGAGACTCCAATATCCCTTAATTAAGGAATATTCCTTAAATCATATTAGGGATCCTACTATACTTTAAGGAATATTCCTTAATTAAGGGATGTTGGAGTCTCTAGGAGCCCGCAACCCTGAACCCTAAACTCTCAGCATCAAGTACACCCATACTCCCAAGGCCTCAAAATCAGAGAGGGGCAACTTGCCGCAAGGATGCCGAGCCTCAGCGACCAAGCATGGCTTCAGGCTTTGGGGATTTAGAGCTTTTTGGCTTGAGGGGCTTCGTCCAGGGTCAGGGTTTATGATTAGGGTTTGGGGTATCTGCAGGTGCTGGGTTCCTTCTGGGAGTTTTGTGTAAGCTCCCTAGGCCTTTGGGTTTAGGGTGCAGGTCGCAGGGTTTGGTTCCAGGGGTTAGGGCTGTGTGTGCAGGCTTGTGGAGGTTCGCATGTACATGTATTTGACAAGGCTTTTACCAATCCGCGCGCTGCAGTCACGTGGCTTTTTGGTGTGTCGTGTCTCTCCTAGACAGTCTGTGTGGAAACTAAGTCGAGAACGAAGAACCTTGGGGTTTGCAAATTCGAGGCTTGATTTTTGAGGTCAGCAATCGAACGTTGTAGAGCATCCCACTTCCTGTCCTTCAGCAACCCTACTAGAGGGACCATAATAATCAGAACACGGTTGGGGGCCCATTATACCATAATTATAATAAGGAACCACCAAAATAGTATAGGTAATTATTAAGGCCCCTGTGATCTGGCCTCTGAGGCTTTAGCCCTAGAGCTCCTCAAGCCTGAACTGGGTTCTTGTTAAGGAACTTAAGTTAAGTTCTTTTAAGGGGTCTATAAGGGTTCCTTTAAGGGTTTAGGGTTTAAGGTTTAAGTTATCATAATAGAGATCTATAGTTTCTCTGTTAAGTTATGGTACTTTAAATTAAATCCTTTAAGAAGACCCCAGCCAAGCACCCCAAGCCCTCAACACTCGGCGCGAAACCTCTACCCTCCAAAGCCGCCAACCTCCACAACTACAAGCGACTGTCCGGGGGACAACGTCCAAAAACCCAAACCCGTAATACCAAGACCTTTGCGCGGCAAACCCTGAACACTATTACTCCTTAAGGCTTAAGGCTCCTCAATGTACCTTGAGCTACCTTTTTGTAGGGTCCCTATAATATCCATATTAGGGTTTTATACTTAATAGGAATCTACCAACTAGTAGGTGTTGGTGGGTTAAGGTAGGTAGACTTTAATTGCCACAATAATTTCTTCTATTGATTTATCGCTCCTATGTTGTTGAACCTGGAACCAAGTAGTCCCCGAAACCACAAGCACCCAGAGACTCCAATATCCCTTATTTAAGGAATATTCCTTGAATCCTATTAAGGATCCTACTATACTTTTAAGGAATTAATATTCCTTAATTAAGGGATATTGGAGGCTCTAGGTAGTCCCCGAAACCACAAACAGGCCGGAGAGTGCCCCAACGCGGTTTAGGGTTTAGGGTTTAATTATGGTCCCTTTTTGGGTACCCTAAATACTAGGTGCCGTTTATAATAGGGACCCAAACAGGGACCACAATTTTGACAACCACCCATGTGTATAGTGGTTTCATCTGACGATCCGGTTGCCTCAACAGGTGTTAACATTGTTTGCTCTGTGGGGCCTGAGACTTTCGCAGTATACGGGTTTAAGGCTGCTGGGATTCAGGGCTTTGGCTGGAAAGCTTTACGACCTGAAGGTTCGCGGTGCAAGGTTCTGGGCCCCAGACGGTGAGGGAAAGCAGCTGCATATCGGGTCATCTGTACCAGCAGGACCCTTGACCCTAAATAAATGCGTCAGACAATGACGTCTGTCACGAGCGCAGCCGAAAGGTGTCGTGGACGATTCGATTCGCGCTAACAGCACAAAACCCGGCCCTCATGGCACCCATGAGACTTCCCAGACAACCAGACTCCTACCCCCTACCTGTATCCTGAATCACCAACCTTTTCAGGACTTATGTAAGGAACCCGAAAAAAAGTAGGTTTCTTAGGGCCCAGGTCAGCCCTGAACATCCCTAAAACCCACATTTTTAGCAGCCTCTCCTTCGGTTGATGATATAAATCCTGCATTACCTTAAGGGCCCTGAACTATGGGAATTATTGTATATTCCTTATTACGGGTAATGCAGGATTTATATCATCATCAACCGTTGCGATGCGAACAGGCGGCAAGCCCGCGACAACCATGATCAAAATGTAGCGGAGGTCATAGCCTCCGCTGGGCAGCGGATCGTACCGGCGCCTCGGAGATAGGGGGATTCCTAAAGGCAGAGTTTATGGGGTTGAGGGTTTAGGGTTCTCTTTTTGTTGTGCCTATACTGCGGTTCATATCTAGAATCTAGGATGACAACAGATATTGCTATGTTAGTATGGTCTCTGGTTCTTTCCATCGAAACCCTAAACCCGATTTTCTGCTGGTACGGTCACGGACAGGTACCTCGCAAGCTTTCACTCCTTCCTTCAAGGCGACCTTAACATAGGTTGGCTTGTGCGCTCTTTCGGCGGTAGCTCATACTCTGCAGAGCCCTAAATTCACGACCGGCAAAGCCAATGAATCTTTCGAAAGCTCAACCATTGCCCACTACAAGTCGCTACGCCGCTACAACTCGTATCAACTACTTTCAAAAAGGCGAATCTAACACTTGCTCATGACAAACCTTGCCATTCGCCTCCGATCCTGAACTTAACACACCCAGAGGGTCCAAGTACCCAAATAGTAGGGTTTTCGGTCCCAAAACCCATACTCCCAATGGCTTTTGGACCTTGAAACCCTACCATTTGGGCACTTGGACCCTTAGGGACAGGGGCCTGTCTGGTTAGAATAGGCTATATTCCTAACGAGCGGTATTCGTAATTAGTCAGGCTCGTGTATTGCGCAATCCTAGACCTTCGTACAGACCCTAAAACTCGCAAGCAAGTTCAACGACTCTGCAAGATTCGCATAAACATCACAGAACGCCCTTGGATAAGCCTCAAAAGCCCGAAGGACATTGCTGCAAAAACCTAACATCCTACAACCCCTCCCCCCCACGGACCCCATAAACCCTAAACCCGGAGCCCTGCACGCTACACTCTCAACCCTAAACCCTGAGCCCTAATTCGGAACCCTTAATCCTAAACACTGAACCTTAAACACGAAGCCCTAAACCCTAAACCCTCAACCCTGGACCTAAGGCCTTAAACCCGAGACCTATACCCTAACCGCTTTAACTTCAAAGGAACCCTTCAGCTGAAGGGTTTAGGGTTCACCTGTGACTACCAAACCCTACAAAATAGTAGGTGATGACCCCTTACTTGGAGGGTCGGGGGACTTAGTAAGTAGGTAGTAAGTAGACTTATAAGTACCCCAAAAGGGACCCTAGTTGGGGTTATGGTACTTATAAGTCCTTAGAAATCAATTACTACGTCGCCCCACCCTCCAAGTAATCGGGTCTGACCCCCGCTAAACCCTAAACCCTAAACCTTAAACCCTAAACCCTAAACCCTAAACCGTAGGTTTTTGGGATCCACAGGTAGGGCCTGAACCCTAAGGCCCGAAACCCTGAAACCCTAAACCCCAATAGAAGCTATAGATTGGCTATAGATCCCTTTAAAGGATTCCTTAAAGGAGCCCTAAACCCTAAACCCCAATAGAAGCTATAGATCCCTTTAAAAGATCCCTTAAAGGAACCCTAAACCCTAAACCCCAATAGAAGCTATAGATCCCTTAAAAAATCCCTTTTAAAGGATCCCTGTTAAAGGAACCCCTAAACCGCCGCCCTGGGCGCGGCAGCGTCAGATTCTGCGCTGCTTCGTCGCTGCGGGCCGCCAGGCCTCACTGCGTGCGTCTTTGGGGTTTGTTGGGATTTGGGGTCCCTAAACCCTAAACCCTAAACCCCTAAACCCTAAACCCTAAACCCCTAAACCCTAAACCCTAAACCCCTAAACCCTAAACCCCTAAACCCTAAACCCCTAAACCCTAAACCCTAACCCCTAACCCTAAACCCCTAAACCCCCCTAAACCCTAAACCCCTAAACCCTAAACCCCTAAACCCTAAACCCCTAAACCCTAAACCCTAAACCCTAAACCCCTAAACCCTAAACCCTAAACCCTAAACCCCTAAACCCTAAACCTTCCAAGGGCACCTCTAAGGGCTCTATCAGATTGCTGGTTTAGGGCTTTAGGGCTTTAGGGGTTTAGGGTTTAGGGTTTTGGGGTTTAGGGTTTGGGGATTTGGGGGTTAGGGTTTAGGGTTTAGGGTTTTAGGGTTTAGGGTTTAGGGTTTAGGGCTTTAGGGTTTAGGGTTTAGAGTTTTAGGGTTTAGGGTTTGGGGATTTGGGGGTTTGGGGCTCCTTTAAAGGTACTCTATAAGACTGAGGGTTTAGGGTCTAGGGGGTTAGGCTTGATACGAGTGTGGGGTTTAGGGTTTAGGGCTTTAGGGGTTTAGGGGTTTAGGGTCGGAGTACCTATATATGTATATATATATATACACACCAGAAAGTCGGGTTACTAGAGTAGGAGCTACTATTGTGGCTTGGGCAAATATCCCCCACATGGTCGCTAGCTGGTAATTAGGACCTCTTTGCAATTGGTTTTTGCAAGAGTGCTCTATGGGGTGTTACACACAACAGTTTCCAACTATCTTCGAGCTTTTAGACTTTAGGACTTTATGTTCTTTGTCCTGGGTGTACGATTTGAGTTTATATTTACTAGGTGGGGCTTCTAAAGCCTATGAAAAATGTTAGTAAATAAGATCCTCTTAAGCCCAATAAGGGAAAATATAAAATGTCCCAAAGCCCTACCTAGTTCATATGTATTGTTTGAAGTTTCAGTTTCAGAACGGGACATGCTGGGGCCCTTTGTCTCGAGTAGATTGCGTATTTTCGGTGGCGCTTACATGTGTCGCCCTACAACGACGCAAAACGAACAACTACACTGATTATCACTGCTATTGCTTGGTTCTGTTCTGCATACTGCTTCTGTTTTGCACTTTCAGTTTAGACTATTAGAGTGCAGTGTCTGGGCCTTGAATTTGGAGGTGAACACAGGCTTGACGGTTTGCCGCAGATTGGTCTATATGGGAGTTTCCGAAAATAGGGGACCCTAATATAATGTACCCTAAATAGTAGGATCCGTATTATAAGGCCCCCTAAACAATATACCCCTAATTTCCGGAAACTCCTATATCGTTTTTTTTTTTTTTTTCCCCCTTGGTTTGGGGTCCAGAAGCTCTGCTATCCGTACCTCATGCATTTCGGGAGGGGGGGGGGGCTCTGGCTTAAGGGATTTATCATAGGAGCCCTTATTAGGGGGGGAGGGCGGTAGGGGACTATACTTCCTTGAATAGTCCTAATTAAGTCCTTGTTATAGGTATTGAGGCCCCCTATCCCCCTAAGGGTCCTTATGAATTCAGGTTTGGGGTTCAGGTGTTCGTAGTGCTTTTGCAGTTCCGAGTGTTGGGTTCGGAGCGTAGTACGAGTGTGCAGATATGTGGTAGGGTTCGTATTGGTGCTTTAGTGAGTATATGACCCTAAACCCTAAACCCTAAACCCTAAATAATATGCACGGCTTCTTCGACATTCCTGCAAGTTGTCCTCGGTTCAAAGGAAGGGAGGCTTCTTCTGAGAGGAGGAGGGTCGGGCTAAAGGTTTTTGGGGTTTAGGGTTTAGGGTTTAGGGTTTAGGGGATCAATTTCCCCAGTCCGAAGGTGCTGTGGATGTTGGAAGTTGAGCAAGTGGGGGGAACCCTCAAGCATCACTCACGGTTTAGAATTCAGTGCTCAGGAGAATCATTCATTACAAGCTACTGACTCTGGCCGGACACTGCTTTAGTCTCTTAACTATGGGCTTCTAAGGGTCCGTGTTAGCCTGAGCCATTAAGTTGCACAAAGAGTCCCAGGACTTTTGGGGACGGGGTAGGGGACTCTACATCCTTAGATTGACCTTTCTTTTAACCCTGATTAGGACCTAAAGGCTGCAGTTCCCCCTCGCCCTCAACATCCCCCTAAGCATCCTCACTGATGGGATCGGTAGCTGGATAGACCCAAAGGGGAGTTTCCGAAAATAGGGGACCCTCATATAGAATAGGATCCTTATTAGAAGGACCCAGAATAAGGAACCTGATGTTCGGAAACACCCAAATCTTGGAAAGCCAAGGGCTGCGGGCAGTGTGGAATACAGCACAGCAGACTCCACAGCTTGCTTAGGGTAGTGGTCTTCAGTCTTCGCAAAGTAATCTTGAGCCCGACACCGTAATGTAGGGACCTGATTAAGAAACATTGGGCCTATAGCCCCCAAAATCGTAGGGTTCATAAACGGAGCCCGGATAAAGGCCCAAGGCTTCTTAATCAGGTTCCTACATTAGTATAGTACCCTCATAGATTCCTTAGACCCCTTTAAGCGAACCCTAAAGCCTTTAAAGGACCCCTAGGAATGCCTATAGATCTGTTTAAAGGTTCCTACATTACACCGTAGACACTACCTCTGAACCCTGAACACCCTAGACCCGGTATCCTTTTGATCCATCCCGAAGAACCTAGCTTAGCTCTAACCCAAAGGCTACGCAAAGGCCCCATAGTAGTTCCTTTTTGGGAGCACCTTATAGGATTCTATATATGAGCCCGCAAAAAGGAACTACTTTGGGGCCTTTGGGTAACGCCTACCCGAAACCCGAAGCCCTAACCCCTGAGCTAGGTCTCGTGCCAATCCTGTGGCCCTGCATGTCGAAGATGGCCACGACGGTTCGGAGGAAGGTGTCCTCGTACGCAGAGTCTCAAGGGTTCAGGGTTTCCCTCCAAGGAAAAAAGGAGGGACCCTTAATAAGGACCCCTAGGTATATACCCTTATTATACCCATTATATAGCCATTATATAGCCCATTATAGGGTAGGGGTCCCCATTCAGGGTCCCTCCTTTTCCCCTTTGATTCCCTAAAGGGCTCCTTTTAAGGGATCTTCAAAAGCCGTCTAGATGGGTAAAGGCTCAAGGGACTTTGCAAATAAGGTTTAAGGTTCTTTTTAAGGGTGCTATAGAGTTCTATAATAGGGCTCCCTTTAACGGTTTAGGCTTTGGCGTCTACTTTTGAAATTATGTGAAGGCTATAGTACCCCCAAAACGGCTAGAGGTTACCTACTCTGCTACAAAGAAAGGCTCAAGGGACTTTGTAAGTAACTAACCTATAAGAAAGGTTACAATTAGGATAACCCCACTTTAAGGAGTTAAAACCCCAACTATAACCCACTTGCTAAGTCCCTTGAGCCCTTAAGTAGACTAGGGGAGGCAACAATCCCAGGATAGGAGAACCTTCTTCCTCTGCCTGGACTTGGAGGTAACCAGGGAGAAAAAGTATACGCTTGTATTTGATTATAGTTATGTTAAGGAGCAGGTGCCAAAAAATATTGAAGTATGGTAATTGGGCCCTAAACCCAGGGAGGCAGGGGGGAGGGGGGTAGGGGACTATACTTCCTTAAATAGGCCTTATTAAGTCACTATTCTCTGGTATTAAGGCCCCCTACACCCCTATAAGGGTCCTTGTGATACAATGCTTGAGAAGGATTCTGCAGCATTTTTCGGGAGGGTTTGGGGTTTAGGGGTTGAGGGGCTTGGGGTTTAGGGCTTAGGGGTTTTCGGGTTCAGGATTTAGGGCACAGTTTGGGGTTTAGGGGTTTCGGGGTTTAAGGTTTGGGGGTTTGGGGGTTGGGGGTTGCTGGCAGGGATTTCTGATTTAGGGTTCAAACCTTTGGGTTTGAGGGCAGCTTTGGCAAAGGATGCGAGCAAGCATCACCCAAGATGATGGGCAGCTCGTCCTCAGCTAGAGACGGTTGAGGGGGTTTACGTTCAGGCTGTAGGATTTAAAGCTTTGCTTGCTAACGATGTGCTGCGTTTTTGGTCGGGGGTCTTTCTGCTCATGGTGAAGGGGATACATTTCTGTTTGCAAAACCCTTTCCTCCGTTTTGTACCGGAGCCGTTATAGTACATGGGCTGTATTTGTATCTGTTTGGTGCGGTTTTGCGATGGCATGTCCGGCCTCACTACAAACAAAGTTTCCATGTTTGCGTACTGAATGGCATCGCAAGCTCACGGCCTCTGAACCCCAAACCCCAAGCCCTGAACAACAAGCCCAAAACCTAATGCCCTCCACTATAAGTCCAAAACCAAAAGCCCAAAGCCTGAAACAACAAGCCCCAAGCCTTAAACCCTCAACGCTAAACCCCAGAGAAACTGAGGAAGGGGCCGACACTTGCTGCACCTGGGGAGGCTGCGAACGAAGGCTTTGTTGAGTTTTGCTGGGGTTTGGGGGTTTTAGGGCTTAGAGCTTATAGGGTTTGATTAGGGCTAGGGCTTAGGGATTCAGGTTGCCTCAGTTTTGCTGGCATTCTGTTTAGCATTTCGGAAGCAGGAGTAAGGCTTTAGCTTTTCGGAGCTTGGGGTTACCCAGAGAGACCATCACCCCTTAACTAAGGAATATACCCTAAATTATATTATGAAGCCCCCCTTTAATTTGAGATTAATATTGCTTAACTAGCGGGTATTGGGTTCTGTAGGTATTACAGCCGAGACAGTCGACCTCCCTGCCTTCAACCCGAAAAGCCAGCCTTGAAGCCTCATATCAGGGCTGCTTCAGACTCTTGTTTGGGGTTTCCGGGCTTCGAACTCAGGGAAGTAGAGTTTAGGGTTTAAGGCTTTTTTGTCTAGAGTTTAAGATTTCGGTGATTTACAGAATAGATGGAGTAGAGAGCTGCGCTATAGAGCTTGGGCCTCTTAGCCTTTCTCCGCCAAGGTCTGAGCTTTTACCTTTCCTCTTAAGATTACAAGGGTATCCCTTTCCCTTATCAGTCGTACGAAACACCTTAAACTCTAAATCCATGTTTTCTACAAAAAAGGAGACCACAGAAGCCGAGGGCACAAGGTCGCTGATGCTGGTGAACTAGGTTCCAATCTGGGTCCTGAATTATCAGAATAAGGTTTTGTGGCGTCTTCTACTTCAACAACTATAGTAAGCAACCCTGAAGAATAGTATGACCGACCTCTATTATATCAAGTTTGCTCTGAACCCTGAACCCTATACTGCCTATACTCACTGCCACTTGGAGGCCCAGAAGACTTAGTAAGTAGGTTAGAAGTAGAGTTATAAGTACCCTAAATGGAGATACCCCAATTACCCTGGGCATCAAAATAGCCCAAAAGCCTTATATAGTATGGTCTTTGGGCCAAACAGCCTTAATATATGAGGCCTTAAATGCCTACGGTTGTAATCCTACTTATAACCGACTTACTAAGTCCCCCGCCCGGGCCTCCAAGCAAGGTCTGAGGTTCTGGCTTCCAACGTGCATCTGCCCGATGGGTGCTCGACATTGGAGAGCAGCACAGAGGGCGGAACCTTCTTCCGTTTTCGGACTCTCGGGCCCTATACCTAAACAGCTTTAGGGTTTAAGGTTTAGGGTTATTAAGCCCTAAAAGAAGGCCCTAAGGCCCTGTACCTAAAACCCTACTTAAAGGATCATGGGACTTAGTAAGTTGATTTTAATTGGGGTTATAAGTCCCCGAAGTGGGGTTATCCTAATTATAACCTATACCCGTGCTTACTAAGTCCCATGAGCCTGCAAGTATACCTGAAACCCTAAGCCCTAAAAGACGGCCCTATAATAACGTCCACCAGAAGTCACGGCAAGTAGGGTATAGGATTCAGGGGTTGCGGGACAGGTTGTGGTTGAGGGTTTTAAGGACTTAGGGTTTAGCGTGTTTCAGAGTTTAGGGTGTTTCAGATGGTGTAGATTTTAGGATCTAGGGTTTGGAGCAGTGGAGAGTTTAGAGTTCAGGGTGTCGGAAGCGATAAAGCCTGAACACTAAACCAGACATCCTAAGTTCGACCCCAAATGCCGACTCTCCTGCAAAGGGTCTGAGCAGTTAGACTAAGGATTTGGTGTGCTTCATACTCCAAATATCTGCACGCCGTAAGCCCTAATACGAACAAATAACTGTATAAACCCCAACCCCCTATAAACCCTAAACCCTAGACCCTGAACCCTATAAACCCTATAAACCCTATAAGCCCTATAAACCCTATAAACCCTATAAACCCTATAAGCCCTATGAACCCTAAACCGCCTTGGCCTCTAGCAACAAAGAAGAATTGGGACACTCTATGGGATGTGATGGTGGACGAGTAAAGTAAAGGCCAGAAAGTTGGAATATGATTATCCTAAACCCTGTGTGGTAAATTATAAGGTCTCCTACCCTGAAAGCATATTCCAACTTTCTGGAGTTCCCTTTATGGTGGACGAGTAGGACTTAGCTTCGGTTTCTTGGCCGGCGGAGCTTCTGCCTCCGAAGCCGGGTCGATGATGTCACGTAGCTCCTAGCTACCTAGAGACTCCAATATTCCTTCATTAAGGAATATACCTTAAATTATAGTAGGATCCCTAATATGATTTAAGGTATATTCCTTAACTAAGGGATATTGGAGTCTCTGAATATATTGCATGAGGCTCCAAGGGACAAGCTCATGCACTCACTACTACCTTCCTCAACAAGAGCCCACCGATCCTTTATGCGGCGCTCGATCTCAGGCCTCTCGGGATCCGAGGATATCGCCTCGACAGTCACCACAAAACCAGAGTCTGGAGCCCAGATCCATCTGCCGATCCGATTGAATGCTGTGTGCACAAGCTGCATGGTCGCATGACAACGTACGTTACATACTCTGCAGACAGCTAACGAGGCTCGCTTTTCCTGAGCCTAGACCCTATAATAGGGCCCCAAAAAGCACATAAGCAAAAATTAGGATAGGGATATCCCACATAAACCCCCTTATAATGAAGCCCAATATGATAGGGATATCCCCATAAAATGCTTATGCCTCTGTGCTTTTTGGGTCCCTAATATAAACCCTAAACCCTAGGGCCCGAAACCCTAAACCCTAGGATCCCAAACCCTCAACCCCCCTCAACCCTAGACCCTAAACCCTCAACCCTAGGGCCTTAAACCCTGCACCCTAGGGCCCAAAACCCTAAACCTTGGGGGCCCTAATGTAAACCCTATAAACCCTAAACCCTGAGGCAGAAGCTCAATCCCTGAGCTCCCAGGACCCTGAGCGCCCCCTCGAGCCAAGCCCTATAGCCTTATTAGGGATTAGGGTTTTAGTGGATCAGGGTTTAGGGATTGATTAGCGGTTTAGGGTTTAGGGGTTTAGGGTTTAGGGGTTTAGGGTTTAGGGGTTTAGGGTTTAGGGATTAGGGGTTTAGGGATTAGGGGTTTAGGGATTAGGGATTTAGGGATTAGGGGTTTAGGGATTAGGGGTTTAGGGATTAGGGGTTTAGGGATTAGGGGTTTAGGGATTAGGGGTTTAGGGACTAGGGGTTTAGGGGTTTAGGGTTTAGGGTTTGGGATTTAAGGTTTAGGGTTTAGGGTTCAAGGGTTTAGGGTTTCGGGTTCAGGTAGTAGCTCATCGAACCCTCGTCCGTCCATGTAGGATCCTGAACCTAAAGGGAACTCCAGAAAGTTGGAATATGGTTTCGGTGTAGGATACCCTATAATGAAACACAAAGGGTTTAGGATAATCATATTCCAACTTTCGGGCTTTTACTCTTAGCTTCCCAAGACGGAACCGACACGGCCCTCGATCTAAAACCTGAGCGGTTTCTGCAACCCTTGAAGGAACCCCTAAAGGGAATCCTCCCTCGGAAGATGTAAACGAGCCCCAAGCCCTAAGCCCTGAACCCCAGATCCTAAACCCTAAACCCCCAAAACCACCAAAAATACCCTAAAACCCTGAACCCCTAAACCCCCTAAAACCCCCAAATCCCCTAAACCACCCCCTAAGCCCTAAGCCTCGCACCCTAAACCCTAAACCCTAACCCCGAAGCCCTGCACCCTAAACCCTAAGCCCTCAAAGGTAAGCCCTAACACCCCCAGGCCTTGAGCCTAAGCCCTGAGCCTCGCGCCTCGAAGATGGAGGTGCCCACGATGACCTCAAGGCTCTCGGCCACGGGCTCCTGGACCGTCGGGCCTCGGTGGGAGTGTACTTAAAGGATCATGGGACTTAGTAGGTAGGTTATAATTGGGGTGGGTTATAAGCCCCGTAAGTGGGGTTATCCTGATTGTAACCTACTTATAACCTTACTTACTAAGTCCCATGAGCCTTTAAGTGGACCCTAAACCCTAAACTCTAAGCCCTATTATAGAAGCCTATGGTACCCTTAAAAGGAACCCTAAACCTTACCAAGTCCCATGAGCCTTCCAGTAGGGTTTAGGGTTCCTTTGAGGGGTTCCTTTAAGGGAGCCTCTAGGGGCTCCTTTAAGGGATCCTTTAAGGGTTCCTTTGAGGGATCTATAGGGCTTTTATTGTTTAGGGTTTTAGGGTTTAGGACGGTTTAGGGGTTGAGGGGTTTAGGATTTAAGGGTTTAGGGATTTAGGGTTTAATTACGGGTTTAGGGGTTTAGGGTTTTAATTTTGGACGCTTTAGGGTTTAGGGTTTATGACTTCAAGGATCATGATGCACGGTGGGAGTGTAGGGTTTAAGGGATACAGTGTGCTTAAGGGATGCAGGGTAGGAGTGTAGGGCTTAAGGTCGGGTGAGAGAGATGTTTGGGCTTTGGGCTAGGGTGTCCTTGAAGTTGGAAACCGGATTAAGGACAAATGGGTGGTTGACAATATTAGGGTCCCTTCTTGGATCCTCATTATAATACGGCACCTACTATTTAGGGTACCCAAAAAGGAACCATAATTTTTGACAACCACCCAAATAGTTCTGGGATTCCCTACTCATTACTCTTGCCCTTCACCTGCACCCCTCGCCCACCCAGGCCCCCCGGCCGCCTCGCCCCCAGTTCCCCCCAGTTCCCCCCAGTTCCCCCTCATTTTTCCCTGGCGCCTGGCTTTCTTGTGGCCCCCAACTTCTCTGTCCTGACCGCATTGTCCCTGCCTGCCCTGTCTGCCGTAAGCCCGAAACCCTAACAGGAAATGGTTTGGGTGGTTGCCTGTGGTATCGCGGGCGGATTGAACAGAACTTCTGGTTTCACCGAGTTCTATGACACATGAAAGGAAGGTCGCTATACGCGTAATATTACACCCACAAACCCTGGTGTAAGGTGACGCTATCCTAGCATGGATTGCCGGCCACTGCGCAAGAAGACGCCCTAAACCCTAGACCCTAAGTCCTAAACCCTAAACCCCTAAACTCTAAGCCCTGAAGCCCTGCAACCGACCTTTAACCCCGGAGTAAAGTCGAGGTATAGGGTTTGGGCTTAGCTTGAGGCCTGGGGAAGTACCGGTTCATGGCTCCATTGCAGGGTTTAGGGTTATCTTCTTCTTCAGTCTTCAGCTAGATCGATATTGCACTTATCAGACCTCCAGCAAAGGTTTAGTAATGCGAGCAAGCGGCATGGACAACGATAGATTGGAACAGTCGCTGTGTCGGTGATCTGTCGGCAGGGTCAGCTTGACGCAGGAAACCATGCAGACTTCAACTACACTATAATGTTTTCACAGTTTTGTGAAGAAGTCTTACCATTACAACTCTTGCAACCGTTTTGTAATTACAACAACGTTATACGTTCTAAGGCTTAACCAGCAACCGGGAAGCCCCTTTAAGCTTGTTGAACCCCGAAACGTTACTAGACATAGAACGCACCCGCCACAGGCATACTTCCCTGAAGGACCAAATGACCCTTAAAAGTAGGGGCCCTATACCCATATACTATGAATCCCTATATGGTATATGAACCTTAAACCCTTTTAGGGTTCATTTCGTCCTTAAGGTCTTCGAAGGGCCTAAACTCTGAACCCCGAACCCTAAATGATGGGTTCCTGCGCTGAAAGGGTGGTCCGAAGGGGTATATAACCTAGTAACCCAGAATTCTCCCCAGTACTGGCTCCTTCCAAGGTTGAAACCCTACAAGTTCCCAGATCATTTTAAACCCTAAGCCAAACCTCAACCTACATGCAAACGCAAAAACCTAGACCTACACTAAACCAAGCGCCCAGAACCCTAAACCCTAAACCCTAAACCCCTAAACTTAAAGCCTGCAATACTACAGCACGTAAACTCTTAGGATGAAACCATGGGCCCCTGGAATGGGCCCTTTGGCCTGGGACCTTATATCCCTAGGGTTTAGGGTTTAGGGTTTAGGGTGTACCCTTTAAAGCCCCTCAAAAGGGCTAAAGGGAACTCCAGAAAGTTGGAATATGGTTTCAGGGTAGGATATCCTATAATTTACCACAAAGGGTTTAGGATAATCATATTCCAACTTTCTGGCTTTTGCTTTAAGGGCCCATGGTAGAGGCCCATGCTTCTAATTCTACTTGGAGGGGCAGGGGACTTAGTAAGTAGGTTATAAGTAGAGTTATAAGTACCCTCAATGGGGTTACCCCAATTATAACCCTACTTATAACCTACTTACTAAGTCCCCTGCCCCTCCAAGTAACCATGAGCAAACATGAAACCCTTTAACGATCCCAAGCTTCCCAGCTTCCCAAGGAGCTCATTAAGATTATTCAAGTATTATTTCCTGGTTCCTAGTGTTCGGTTTAAAAGCTCGGAAGTGGTAACCACACCTACAAAAACCGACACTTCTTCCGAAAGTAGAATTTCTTTTAACGGATCTACACAACCTCGAAACCTCAACCTCACACTCAAGAATGGGACTCAGAGCATTGTAATTCCAGAACCCTCCTCTTAGGGCCTTAGGGCTTTTGGATTCAGGGGCCCAGCGCCAAACCCTGAACCCCAAAGACCTAAACCTTAAACCCTGAACCCCTAAACCGCTAAGCCTTAGACCCTACTTCCGGAAGACTCTTAGGGTTTAGGAGCCATCCCATGACGCCTAAAACCCTAAACCCTATAAACCCTTAACCTTTTTAACCCTAAACCCTATAAACCTAGTTCATTGTTGAGATAGGATTAAAAATGTACATTTTTATTCCTTGTTGGGTTTAAGTACCCATAAAAACGTAAAGTGTTACCCAACAATGACGAAGAAACCCTATAAGCCCGATAAACCTGGGTATTCCTTAACTTAGGGATATTTGGAGCCAAGCAAACGCACACGGAGACACCTGACAGGCTGCGCTCGGCTGATAAACCCTGTAGACCCTATAAGCCCTATAAACCCTATAAGCCCTATAAGCCACATAAACCCTATAAACCCTATACTCCAAAACAAACCCTGAGGTACCTCACAGACTGCAGCCGGCTGGTCCTTCAGCAACACACGCAGCAATGCCTCGAACCTGAGGAGGAAGGGAGAGGTACCCGTTTTGGGATTACCTTCTAGGATAATTTGAATAGGGCTCCGTTAAAGGGTTTTTTGAATGGGCCTATAAGGGATCTGTAGCAATAGTAGGGTTCTGTCGTATAGGGGCCTCAATAATTAGAAAAGGGCTCCTTTAAAGGTGTTCCTTTCAAGGGGTCTATAAGGGATCTATAGTAGGGTTCTATGATATAGGGGCCTTAATACTTAGACCATTGTTTTGGGGCCCATTGTACTTTATTTGAGTAGAACAAGGAACCCCAGGAAACCCAAAAATAGTACAGGCAAATATTGGAGGGTGGGAGATATTGAGGCTAGTATAGTGGAGGGTCCAGGGCATGTGGGTTTAGCGTCGAAGGGTTTAGGGGTCGGACCGGTCGCAGCCATCATTGCTTTGAAGCGCAACGTCCACTCGTGGCAGTGCTTCAACTTGGATGTCTTGTAAGCCCACACATACCAAAGCCACATAAACCAACAAAAAACATGCCCCGAACCCGAATGCCCTTAAACCCTGAAACGCCAAACCCCCAAGAGCCCGTCTGGATTTACTTCGGGCTTGGGGGTCTTAAGTTGTAGGCCAACGTCATTCCTTTAGGTTCCTTATTGCACACCTGTACCGTAACAGACCGAAAAACCCTATTCTAACTGTTAAGGCCCCGAAACTAGACCCTGCTCGAACCCTGAGAAGACGAGCCCTCTACTCATCACTATAGGGCCCTAATGATCAGAATAGGGTTTTGGGGCCCATTATACTCTGATTATAATAGGGAAGTCCCCCAAAATAGTATAGGTAATTATCTCACTGGCCCAAAACCCAAGGAAATAGAAGTTGAAACTTTCAGAATCGACTACCTTTTCAGAACACCGAAAGTTGAAAAGTTGAGTTCACAGCCAATAAGTTATTTCGGCCCCTGGATTATTAAGGCCATCTACGCTCCCTAGGATGCCAGTAACCTAAGAATAAAAAGGCCTCTCTCTTTTTCGTATTGGGTAACTTTATAAGGAACCTAGGACTACAAAAAGGGAATAAGGGTACTACTGGGCATCCTAGCTCCTCTACTCTGCCAGATCGAGAGCCTAAGCGGTGTGTTGAGTTTTGGACGGCTTCGCATGATTCGCATGCAGGATTGCAGGTGCTGGGCCCCAACCGAAAAGAGCCTAAAGGGCTTAATTATGTAGGGTCTGTAGGGATAGACCCAAGGGTAACCTAGGAAGAAAAAAGGATGTCCCTTTTTGTTTAAGGGGGCTTAAGGGAACTTGAACCCTAAAACAAGGAATACGGGCCTACTCTAGGTCCTAGAGACTCTCTGGACTCAGACACCCGAAGCTTCCCCTAAACCCGCCGGGCAGCTGAGACGTCGGAACGCCAATGTAGGAAGTTCCCGAATCCAGCAAAAACTGGCCTTCAGGCTGGAACTTAGTTGCTGAGTTCATGAGCCCCCAAAAGTGTACTTTTTCAGTTTTATAGGGGGCAATATTATCCCAAAAAGTGTAAAGTGTATCCACTCGGCACTCGGCTACTGAGGGAAACATGTTTCAAGTCTTTCTGGCTGGTTCACGATTTTGCGGGTTGAAAGGCATTTAGGATTCAGGGATTCAGTGGTGTTAAAAGTTCAGGCTTTCAACTTTACGGATTTAACAGGTTTGGCGTTGAAGCTGTTGAGAGGCCGGCACATTCGGGCGTTGAAGTGCAGACGCAGGTGGTTTGGTAGATGCTTCTTCGTTTTAGACCACTTTGCGCATATGCTCGTAGTGGGGTTTCCCATCAATGATGATAACGCTGGTAGAGTTCCAAAACTCCACAAATTTGGAAAGGCGAACCACATGAAAACGTCCATGCATTTGACAAACCACCGATAGCAGATCCTGTAGAAGGAATGGACATCAACTTCTTCGGCGGGCGTAACCCCTTTCAGACACAACAGCAGGTTTGTCCGCGACGCTGGCGTATCCTGCACCCTTAACCCAATGAATCCTGAACGCAAGTTCCGAAAGCCGAAACTAGACCTCAGAGTAACCTATGAAAAAAAAAGGTGCCCTTTTTGGTTTAAAGGGGGCTATAAGGGAACCTGAACCCTAAAAAAAGGGAATAAGGGCCTACTCTGGGTCCTAGTACACACCCAGAGGGTCCAAGTACCCAAATGGCAGGGTTTCAGGTCCCAAAATCCATACTCTCAATGGTTTTTGGACCTAGGAAATGGAAAACACCTGATTTTATCGGTCGTCTTTTCTGAATTATCTACTTGAACCCCCCAGGCCCTCAAGTTCGATGGATCCCCGAAGCCCTACACCCAAGACACCACAAAAAATGGGATGGAGATCTCCCATATAGTCCCCGTTATCGCGAAGCCCAGTGAGGTTGGGATAAACCTGTTAAGTGCTTATGCCTCTGGGGTCTTTAAGACCCCTACACCCTAAACCCCAAATGCATAAACCCTAAACCCTAAAACCCTAAACCCTAAACCCCAAATCCATAAACCCTAAACCCTAAAACCCTAAACCCTAAACTGCGACCCTAAACCCCAAATCCATAAACCCTAAAACCCTAAACCCTAAACTGAGCCTCTTAAGGAATCCTAAACCCTAAACCCCAAATCCATAAACCCTAAACCCTGAAACCCTAAACCCTAAGCTGAGCCTCTTCAGGAACCCATGTGCTCCTCGGGTCCCGAAACCCCGATCCCCAACGCCTCTGTACACCGTCGCATCCCCCACGGCCAACTCACCGTCGAAGGCCCAATACCTTGACTTTTTGTGTCGGGTTTAGGGTTTAGAGGTTAGGGTTTAGGGTTTAGGGCCTAGAGTTAGGGTTTAGGGTCCTAGTTCCAAGTAGCCCTTCAAAAGATGGGCTTATCTTTTCCTAGTGTTCGGACAGCATACCCCTGATATTCTGCAGGTCCTGCCTGGGTTCAAAGCTCAAAAAATTGCCTGCAGAGTCTCGGCTTCCATGCTTGCGTTTGGGAGTTAGGGCAGAGCTTCGGCTTCCACGCTTGGCGTGAATTCCATCTGCTTCTCGATGAAGTTTGAAGTCCACACCAGACTTCGAACTGCGATCATCGGACCGCAAATCTAATGTAGGGGCCTTAATAAATAGAATTAGGGTGTAGGGCTCCTTATAGTACAGAACCCTAAGGAATGATATAGGCAATTATGTAGGCTTCTATTGTATTGAGCGCTGCCAGGAAGGCGCCAAACTTCTCTTGGCTGACTTCTGAACCCCTCCTACAAGCTTAACACCTTGAGGAGTTTAAGGGTTCCTTAGCATTTTCTTTTGAGGGTCTATTATAAGGTAGGAGCTTAGGCTTTAGGGTTCAGGGCTTTGGGGTTTTGAGGTTCCTTGCTATAGTTCACATAGAACCCCAAAAGTTGAAGTCCTAAGAGCCAACCAGAAGAACGCCACGTTCTTTCGCGGCATATCCTAACTGCAGTCCTGACTGAAAACTTTCGAAGTCCCCTGGGATCTCAAAGTAGAAAGAAGTTGTTCAATACACAAGTGGGGCTTTCTCATAAGAGCGGACCCTAATAATACAGCACCCTATATAAAGAGTAGGATCCTTGGAAAATAAGGACCCCAACACCTGGTACCCCTAAGTTTCGGAACCTCCCATCTCGCCTAGACAACATCATGTCCTCTACTCCCCGTACCAGGGGATCCCTATACTTGATCATACCAAGAATCCCTAGGATACCCAGTAACCTAAGAACAAAAAGGCCTCTCTTTTTGGTATTGGGTAACTTTATAAGGAACCTAGGACTACAAAAAGTGAATAAGGGTACTACTGGGCATCCTAGATCCAAACAACTCAAGAACTACCCACGAGCTTCAAAAAGCAGGCTCCCGTTTTGGTGGCCCGGATCTCTTTCCGTTTTGAATCCTTAGTGGTCCTCATCCGAAAGAAGCTGTTGCACGGTAGCCCACGATTTAGGGTAGAGGGTTTGAACGGTTTAGGGTTTAGGGTTTTGGTTTGAGGTTTAGGGTTTAAGGGTTTGGGGTTTAGGGTTGGGCCTTCAAGTGGGCCGTCAAGCAAAATGCAGGATTCCACACAAATCCCGGCCTTTAGTCTCTGCTTTGAACATACGAAAAGGTCGTCATCCGGACCGCGTGTTTGCGACAAACCTAGTATATTTGTCGCGGAAGCACCTTCAAGCCGACAAGCCCTGGGATATGATATCCAGAGCTCTGAGCACTCTAACCCCACAACCCGGACAAACCGGCTCCTTTAACAAACGGCACATATGTAATCACACTTTTCTACATAGGCAATAGCTTAGGAATGCCAGTATGCTCTCTCAGGTTGTTGTAAAAAACTGATAGCTATATCTAAGCTGTTGTATAAGTTAAGTGTCTCTTCAGTAACACAAGTCCACCTACTCCAACATAAAACGGACATAAAGGCAATACTGCAAAGCGTAGAAGCCCAAAGCCCCGAATCCTAATCCCCGCCTTCACGAAGCCTTGATGGAACCCTCGGTGGAACCCCCTGTTAAAAAAAAACAACCTTTCATTACGATTCATGATATATGAACCCTGGGCATCAAATTAGCCCAAAAGCGTTGTATAGTATGGTTTTGGGCCCAAAAGCCTTAATATATGAGTCCTTAGAGCAGCCCTAAGGGGAAGAGCCCTAATAGAAACCCCTGCATCAGAAATCCCCTTATTTACGATTCATGATATGTAAAGGACCGTAATTCTAGAACTACCCGGGCACTTAACGCAAGCCATGCAGCAATTCGGAAGTCACGGGCACCCATTGCAGAGACGTCGCCTGGAAAGCAGGACATCGAGACTCCAAATCCCTCAGTGAAGGGTTGAAGGGTTTAGGGTTTAGGGGTTTAGGGTTTTAGGGTTTATGGGTTGAGGGGTTTAGGGTTTAGGGCACCGTTTGGGGGTATGTGTACGGTTATTGGTGTTGAGGGTTTAGGGTGTACGGCTCAGGGTACAGGGAAATGAATTGCTTGAAGACTCAGGGGATTTAGTATAGTAGGGTTGTTCTTATAGTACTGGGATTATGAGTTCCCTAAATAGGGTTATCCTAACTCTCACCTTACTTATATCTAAAACCTTGCTTACTAAGCCCCATGAGCCTTTCAGTACTAGATTTGGGTGCTAGGTTTGGGGAGTGGGCGCTGGAGTTCAGTACGGGGTTATGGTTTCTATTGTTTACGGCATCTAGATAGGACGCTTGCACCCCAAAGTCCTAAAGTCCGACAGCCCCAAGACGCAAATGCTCTAAACCATCATAGCCTCATGAGTTCCCCCAGACTCCGAAATCGATGTAGGGTCTCACTGGCCCAAAACTCAAGGGAATAAAAGTTGAATCCTTCAGAACCGACTACATTATAAGAGCCCCAAAAGTTGAAAAGTTGAGTTTACAGCCAATAAGGGTTTAGGGTTGAGCGTTTATCACCCTAAAACCGGACCTAAACACCTGAACCCCTAAACACCTAAACTTATAAACCCTAAACCCCTCATACCCTAAACCCTACATCCTAACACTCCAAGCCCCTGAACCCTAAATCCTAAGACCCTTAACCCTCAAGGCACATTGCCTGCCTTCAGCGATCAAAACCCACTGCTTCGTAGGGTTCTCATAAACTCCATGTCAGGATTTTTTGAGAATAAGAGCCTGAAAAAAAGGGTTTAGGGTTTAGGGTTTAGGGTTATGGTAGTCTTTACTTGGAGGGGCAGGGGGCTTAGTAAGTAGGTGGTGATAAGTAGAGATATAAGTACCCGAAACCCCAAATATAACCCTACTTACATCAGCAGGATGAAAGTTTTGTCGCACTAAGATGTTTGCTTGGCGGAGGACTCGGAGTACGAAGAAGTGCATTTTACGTGGCCTGGCTAGCGGAGGAATTTCCATGCCAAAATGAGCATACACTGTTTTTTTGTTCCGACGGAGGAATTAGTGACGTCCTTGCCAAACATCGCGACTTCGTGAAGGAGTCTATGGGGGAAAGGGGTTTGCGAGTATGTGTTAGCAGACCTACCGGATGCGACGAACTTTCGTCCTGGCGCAGCATGAATTCCAAGACCGCTAGTTTGGCCAGGCCAGCATGTGTCACGCGGAGGAGGTTTTTGGACGAGGCATGAATTCCAAGACCGCTAGTTCGGCCAGGCCAGCATGTGTCACACGGAGGAGGTTTTTTGGACGGGTGCCTACTCGTTTTTAGTCGCGGGTGAGCAGCATGAATTCCAAGACCGCTAGTTTGCCCAGGCCAGCATGTGTCACGCGGAGGAGGTTTTTTGGACGGGGCATGAATTCCAAGACCGCTAGTTCGGCCAGGCCAGCATGTGTCACACGGAGGAGGTTTTTTGGACGGGTGCCTATTTGTTTTTAGTCGCGGGTGAGCAGCATGAATTCCAAGACCGCTAGTTTGGCCAGGCCAGCATGTGTCACACGGAGGAGGTTTTTTGGACGGGGCATGAATTCCAAGACCGCTAGTTCGGCCAGGCCAGCATGTGTCACACGGAGGAGGTTTTTTGGACGGGTGCCTACTCGTTTTTAGTCGCGGGCGAGCATCAGCAGGATGAAAGTTTTGTCGCACTAAGATGTTTGCTTGGCGGAGGACTCGGAGTACGAAGAAGTGCATTTTACGTGGCCTGGCTAGCGGAGGAATTTCCATGCCAAAATGAGCATACACTGTTTTTTTGTTCCGACGGAGGAATTAGTGACGTCCTTGCCAAACATCGCGACTTCGTGAAGGAGTCTATGGGGGAAAGGGGTTTGCGAGTATGTCTTAGCAGACCTACCGGATGCGACGAACTTTCGTCCTGGCGCAGTATAACCTACTTACTAAGTCCCCTGCCCCTCCAAGTAGACCCTAAACCCTAAACCCCGTAGATCCCTTTAAGGAACCCTATAGATCCCTTTAAGGAGCCCTTTAAGTATCTACTTACTAAGTCCCCTGCCCCTCCAAGTAAGGTACATATAAGGAAGCTCTGAGCACTCTCCATGAAGGGAGGAGCTCGCCGTAAGCAAGTTCAGTTTCTACCAAACTACTCGGGGTGCTTTATAGGAACCCCCATTAAGCGATCTACTTTTTGGATCCCTTTGAGGGGTCTGGTAAGGTCTCAATGAGGGGAGAAGCTCCTCTTCAAGGTTCAGTCTGGGGCTTGGGGCCTAGTGCTCCATCTTTAGGGCCTTGTGCCGGGATCCTTACTTGGGTGGCTGTCAAAAAAAAGGGTCCCTTCTTTGGGTCCCTATTATAATACGGCACCTAATATTTAGGGTACCCAAAAAAGGGAACCTAATTTTGACGACCACCCTTATATACCTATTAGAGCAATCCCGAAAATCCCCCCTTAGTGGCTTCAGGGCCTATATTAGGGGCCCATAACTCTAGCCTTAGAGTAGGGCCTCGTACCAGGACCCCGTAAACCCTAAACCCCAAACTCCCAGGCCCGAAATTCCAAACCCCTGAACCGTAAACCCTAAACACCCCTTTAGGGCCTTGTACCCTTTTTCCTAATATTCTGCCTAGGATGCCCAGTAACCTAGGAATAAAAAGGCATCTCTTTTTGGTATTGGGTAACTTTATAAGGAACCTAGGACTACAAAAATGGAATAAGGGTACTACTGGGCATCCTAGCTGCTGTAATAAGGAGAGCCCCAAAGCAAAACAAGTGCAGAAGGGCACTATTCAGGAACCTAGCCCCTTTGAACTCTTAGACATCTAAAAACCCTAAACCCAAAATCCTAAACCCTAAACCCCAAACCCTGTGTTTGCGGCCTTGTACCAGGACTCCTCCGGCATGCCAAGCACGAAGTAAGACTCCGCGGAGGGCCCAGAGAGCAGAAACGAGAAGGTGGTGATGTCCAGCTGCCTACACTCAAAGGGGAAAAGGCGGGACCCTTCAAAAGGGATCTATAGGGATTCTATAAGGGTATAGGTATAGGGATTCTATAAGGGTATAGGATTTAGGGTTTAGGGGTTTAGGGGGTTTAGGAGGGACCCTTAATGGGGACCCCTACCCTATAATGGGCTATATAATGGGTATATCATGGCTATATTATGGGTATATACCTAGGGGTCCTTATTAGGGGTCCCTCCTTTTACCCTTTGAGACACGGTTTGATTTATGGTTCCTTAAAGGGCTCCTTAAAGAGATCCTTAGAGGGTTCAGGGTTAGGGTTAAGAGTTTAAGGTTAGGGCTTTTGGGTTTATTTCTCGACTACCCAGAGACTCCAATATCCCTTAATTAAGTCTATAGTAGGGCTACTGTTAAGGTCCTAATCTATATTATGAATATTATTCAACTATTGCTGAGTGGGGGCCGTACCCAACCTATACCCTAACCCTGAAATCCTCAAGCCCGCTCTTACAGGAACTTTTGCAGGAGCCCCTGCAGGAACCCTCTAAAACCTTAAACCCTGAAGCCATACACCCCGAACCCTTAAAACCTTAAACCCTAAACTCTAAACCCTGATATAGGGGTCTTGATAATTCGAACAGGGTTCTAGGGCCCATTCTACTATAGTTATACGAAGGAACCGCCAAAATAGTAGAGCTAATTTTAAACTAAGGCTCCTACAGCGACAGTACTCCAGCAAGCCGGCCCAGGTTTTGCCAAACCCCAAAACCTAAAGCACAAAAAACCTACCTGAACCCCAAACCATACCAGGACCACGCAAGGGCCCGATAATGGAGTGCTTATGGCCCTTAATAGTAGTTATTTGGGGGTATATTAGAGGGAACTTGGGGGGTCTAGGTAAACCCAAACACCAATCCCTATACCCAAAAGCCACACCGAAACCCAAAACCCCCAAAAATCCAAACTTGAAGTCTACCTCCTGCCCAAGTAAGGCGGGCCCCAGAGCCTTCTTACCCTACCCAGAAAGCCCAATACCCCTTAATTAAGGAATATACCTTAATTAAAGTATAAGGGGCTTCATATTATGATTTAAAGGATATTCCGTAGTTAAGGTGTATTGGGCACTCTGGGCAAAACCCTAAAGTCATAAGGGACCGCGCGCACTTAGATCATCGCGCAGCCGCTGTAGCTGATCCCGGAGATAACTAGGATACCCAATAACCTAAGAATAAAAAGGCCTCTCTGTTTGGTATTGGGTAACTTTATAAGGAACCTAGGACTACTGGGTACTACTGGGCATCCTAGTCTATGGCCGCACGATCTGCTGCCCACCGGCTTGTGAGGATTTCTCGGCAGTCCTTCCAGTAGCGCTTGGTCTCCGCCCATTCGGTCCGAATGCTCCGCATGGTGTACTTGAAGGCTCTCGGAACTTAGTAAGTAGGGTTATAAGTAGGCTCATAATTAGGATAACCCCACTTAGGGGACTTATAACCCCAGTTATAACCTACTTACTAAGTCCCATGATCCTCTCAGTACTCGAGGACCTCCATGCGAGTCAGAACCATGGTGGGCTGCGGGTCTGAGTGCCGCGGACCGGAGGAGGGGCAGGGGGAGCATGGGGTAGGGGTTTAGGGTTTAATGTCTAGGGCTTAGGGTTTAGGGTTTAGTAGTATACTTCCTTGCACAAGCCTTATTCGACTCTTATCAAGTCATTAGTTCTTGAGGGCTGTCAAGGTCCTCTTACCCCCTTACCTCCCTAAACTCTGGGCCACCCTAAAGGTCCTTTATGATAAAGCCCCAAAGCTGGTCGCCTTCCCAGGTTCTGCAGCACCGTTTCGCCGGTGTTCGACAGCTTCGGCATCGCCAATCCCAGAATGCCATCGGAGACCTCCGGGTTCAGGTTATTTTCCGCCTGGCTATACTGTCTAAGCAGGTTTAAGGGCTAAGGGTGAAGGGTTTAGGGGTTTAAGGGCTTAGGGGTGAAGGGTTTAAGGGTCAAGGGTGAAGGGTTTTGGGGTTAAGGGTTAAGGGTTTAGGAGTTAAGGGTTAGGGGTTAGGGCTTCGGGTGTAGGGTTTAGGGTTCCTTTAAGGGCCCCTTTAAGGCCACCTCTAAGGCTTCCTATAGGGGTCCTAGGGTTTAGGTTTGAGGCACAGGGTTTTGTGTGCTTTGTGCTGTTGTTGGTGATGTATTTGTGCGTAGTTGTGGATTTCATTCAGTTGGTTTTTGCAGTTGTTGCTGTCTTTAGTTGCTATGCCTTATCTTTCTGCTGAGGTGGAATACGTAAGCTTTGTACCATTGTCTGAAGGCCGTCCTGTATAGCTTCAAAACCCAGGAACCCGTGACTAAGCCAACTGCAGGCAAGAAGACCCTAAACCCTAAACCCGAAACCCTAAACCCTAAACCCCTAAACCCCTAAACCCTAAACCCTAGACCCTAAACCCTAAACCTCTAAACCCTAAACCCGAAACCTCTACCGAACAGTTTGGCCCCCAGCTCCTCGTTGAAAGGACACATAGGTCACACAAACTAAATGAATTCGTACCCTAAACCCAAACCATCCTAAACCGTAACTATTGATCCATAAAACCTACTGTTTTAAGGGTTATACCATCTAATTCGGGGGTCATAACCTACTACTTTGTAGGGTTTGGGGATACAGGTAAATCAATGAACTTGTACCCTAAACCCTAAACCATCCTAAACCGCAACTACGGTTGATGATATAAATCCTGCACTACCCATAAGAAGGAACATGCCATTATTCCCGTAGTTTAGGGTCCTTAAGGTAATGCAGGATTTATATCATCAACAGTATTACCCAAAGCCCACAGCCGACAAATTCCCAAGAACGGCAAACCCTCAACCCCAAAGACGCCTTCACAAGGTCCGGAACCCAGGAATCAGAAATCCTGAAAATCCTCAGAACCCCTAAACCCACCCCACTATATTGTATAGGCCGTATAGACGCTATAAACCCTAAACCCTCGACCCTAAACGCCAGACCCAAAAACCGGAATTCAGCGGACGAGGAACCAAAAAGGAGAGCTCTGTGTCCATCAAAAGAAGCCTGATAGTCCAAGGCGACACCAGGGCGAAAGGGTAGATTGGGGCTTACGAGGGTTAGGGTTTAGGGTTTACGGTGCAGGGCTTCGAGTTTAGGGGGGTTCGCGCTGTAGGTTTTCAGTCAGTCCTCAAGCACAGGTTGGTATCCACACAGCCCTTTCTCCAATATGGGTGGTTGTCAAAATTGGGGTCCCTTTTTGTGGTACCGAATATAATACGTATAATATTTAGGGTACCCTTAACCCTAAACCCCTAAACCCTAAATCCCTAAACCCTAAACCCCTAAACCCTAAACCCGAACAAGGGACCTTATCTTTGACAACTACCCATATGAAGTGCTGAAAGAGCGCACCTGGGATCCCTCGAAACCCAGGGCCGAAACCCCAAGACCCTACTTAGAGGATCATGGGACTTAGTAAGTAGGTTATAATTGGGGCTATAGGTCCCCTAAGTGGGGTTATCCTAACTATAACCTACTTATAGCCATGAACCCTAAATCCTAAACCCCTAACATAGGGGCCTTAATAATTAGAGTAGGGTTTTGGGTCCCATGATACTATAATTATAATAATAAGGACCACCCAATACAGTATTGGCAGTTATTCAGGCCCGTATAGTGAGCCCTAAACCCTTGGGTCCAGCCCAGCTGCGACTGAGCTTTGACCGCCTCATCGACGATGGTGACAGTGTCCTTCCCGGATTCGAGATTGAAACACTCTCTTTTTCAGTAATCCCGACAAAGCTCAAACTGTTTAAGGCAGACCAAATCTACAAAACCAAAAGTTTTACAGTTCTGCCATAGGCCATGTAAGAACAACCATGGGTTTAGGACTTTCGGTGTGACCGCTGAGGTTTGAGACACCCTAAACCCTAAACCCTAAACCGTGCAGGGGCTTGGATTTAAGACTGGCTTTTTCACGCGTCTTAAAGCAACCCGAAAGCCCAAAAACAATTCGAAACCTGAAAGGTCCCTTTAAGGAGGCCTTGTAGGCAGCACCTAGGAGAGCCCTTAATCCACCCTTGTAGGCGCGACACCTGAACCCGAAAACCCTAAACCCTAAGAAGGAAGCATTTCAGGAGCCCCTGAAGGAGCCTAAACCCTGGACCCTAAATGCACTAAACTCTAAACTCTCTACACTGTAGACTCGTTAAAACCTAGACCCTAGACCCTAAACCTCAAACCCTAAGCCCAAAACCTGAACCTTAACGTCCCCATAACCTGAAACCCGAAACTCCCTAAACCCTGAACCCCTTTGAGCCTCGCAGAGCTTAGAGGGGCCCTAAAAGGAAGCCTTAAAGGAACCCTGAAGCCTAGACCCTTAAAAGAACCCTAAACCCTTAAAGGAACCATAAACCCTAAACCCTCAAAGGAACCCTAAACCCTAAACCCTTAAAGGAACCCCAAACCGTAAACCCAAAAACGAACCGTAAACCCTAAACCCTAGACCATTAAAGAAACCATAAACCCTTAAAGGAACCCTAAACCCTTAAAGGAACCCTAAACCCTAGACCCTGAAAGGAACCCTAAACCCTAAACCCTTAAAGGAATCCCGAAACCCTAAACCCTTAAGAACCCTAAACCCTAGACCCTTAAAGACCCTTACAGGAACCCTAAACCCTTAAAGGAACCCTCAACCCTAAACCCTTAAAGGAACCCTAACCCTAAACCCTTAATTACAGGAACCATAAACCCCAGACCCTAATCCCTTAAAGGAACCCCAAGCCCCAAACCCTAGACCCTTAAAGGAACCCCAAAAGGCCTCGAAAAGCTTCCCCTGCACGTGCACCGTTCCGCCGTAGGTCACCGAGGACGAGGAGCCTCCAAAGGAGCCCCCTAGAGACGGAGGGGTCTTAGGGTTTTTTTGAGAGGGCACTGACTCTTAGGGTTTAGGGTTTAGGGGTTTAGGGGTTTAGGGGTTTAGGGGTTTAGGGTTTAGGAGTTTAGGGGTTTAGGATTTAGGATTTAGGGACTTGAAGGGTCATGGGACTTGGTAAGTAACCCTAAGGTTCGTTTAAAGGGCTCCTTTAAGGGATCAGTTCTATAAGGGTTCTATAAGGGGGAGATAGTGTTGCCTAGAGGATCATGGGGCGGAGTCCCCTAACTGGGGTCATCCTATTTATAACCTACTGACAACCTCACTTACTAAGTCCATGAGCCTTTAAGTACTGCTGATTTCACAAATGATGTAACCCTTTTCAAAGGAACCCCTTGAAGAATGCTTATAGGGTCTAATATAGGGGCCTTACTAGCTAGAGTAGGGTTTTGGGGTACATTGTACTATAACCATTTACCATGAGGTGCGTTTAAAGCCGTTGAAAAATATTAGCAGGTAAGACCCTCTTAAGCCCAATAAGAGCAAAGATAAAATGTCACAAAGCACAACCTAGATTTATGTAATATGGGGTCTGAGGAGACCCAAGGAACCTTAGGGGAGGTGGGGGGAGGGTGCCTTAATACATATGTGCATGGCCGACTGAACGGTTGACTATAGTAGAAAAGAATATAAGGCACCTTGAGGACTGATGTTGGCAATTCAAGGTTTAGTTGTTTTGTTGAGCCCCTTTTTCCCGAAGTCCCTCGCAAGGGTTTAGGGTTTAGGGCTTAGGGTTTAATTAAGGTTATTCATCAGGTTGCTGTATTGGGGTTCCTCTTGCAAGCTCTCCTGGAGATTTCTTACAGAGGCGTCGGGGGCCTTGGGGGCTTACAGGTGTCATGCATGGTGAAATGTTCGTCTACTTAGAGGATCATGGGGTTATAATTGGCTTGCTAATTCCTGTTCGTCGCGGAACCCCAGTGGCTGTGACCATCAGCAAGAAGCGGTGCATTTGTGCACATAGGAAACCAGGTAGTCCCAACCCTCGTCCTCCAGCTCGTCAATGCATGCATATGCTCTGGAGCAAGCGGCCAGCAGCTGCAGCTTATCCAGCCACGAAGCACCAGCCAGGCGGGATAGGTTCGACCCTCAGATTTGGAGGGAAGTCGAACTTGAGCTGAAACCTCATAATTTCGCGCAGGCCCTCTGTCTTTGCTGGGACAGCCGGTTCAAACAAATGTTCACCACTTTCTGTGGGTGGCATCTTTATCCAACTCACCGTTTTGTCGCGGACACAAGAAAAGTCCTAAAGCTAAGGGGTCATAAGTCCCCTAAGTCGGGTTATCCTAATTATGACTTACTAATAACCGTACTTACTAAGTCCCATGAGCCTTTAAGTACCCGTGGCTCAGGTAGGGAATACGGGCCTACTCTAGGTCCTAGATTACGATGTTGATTCTGATCGGGTGTATGTCGGTGTTGAGTGTTGTATGTAGAGGTTTTTCGGCTTTGGGTAGGCGCTCATCCTACTTGTCCAGAATCGTTGGAACTAAGGGCTCACCTTCGGGCTTACATGGGGGTTATAGTGCCCCAAAAAGGTTAAAGGTTACCTACTCTACTACTAAGGACCCAGAGAGCCCAATACCCTTTACTTAAGGCGTATAGATTGAATCATACTATGAAGCCCATGACGGTTATTAATTAGGTCTACTACTGCTTACCTACTCTACGACTAAACGCTACACCCCGAACCCTAGTAACCCCAAAAAGCTAAAGGTCACATACTCCACTATCAGGTCATGTAGCAGTGCCTGTGTCTTTCGCAGTCGACGAATCCTTGGGTCTCTCAAGGTTGGGGGCTTAGGGTCTATGGGTTTAGGGGTTATGGTCTACACCCTTCTTCAACAACCGGGCCCCAAAAAGTTCAAACTTTCTACTATACAACGAACATAAAAGGCCAACAAGTTCAAAGTTCCCCTGTTCACTGTCTAAGATAGGCACGACCCAAGCAGCCTCGTAAACCTTAACCCGAAACCCCTAAACCCCAACTCTGAAGGCTAAACCCTCAACCCTAAACGTTTACTAGGATGCCCAGTAACCTAGGAATAAAAAGGCCTCTCTTTTTGGTATTGGGTAACTTTATAAGGAACCCCTGACTACAAAAAGGGACTAGGGGTACTACTGGGCATCCTAGTTTAGGCATGTCGAGCTTTACAGTAGAAGCCAGAAAGTTGGAACATCATTATCCTCATGCCCTTAAAGTAAAGTATAAGGGATCCTAGCACTAATCCTCCTCAACCCATGTTCCAACTTTCTGGCTTCTACTATAAGGCCTACCCCTAAAAGCCCCAAACCCCAATATTAACCCCAATCCCTGAGCCCTTAAATCCTATCTAAACCCTCAACCCGAAACCCCTAAATCCTAAAACCCCTCTAAACCCTATAAGCCCCTAAACCCTAAACCCTTAAAGTAGGGTGTTGGGTTTGGGGTTGTGGGGTTCCGGGTGGAGGGCTTCAGGATGCTGGGCCTTAGGAGACCTCCCGGGTTCCTTTCATAAGGCCCTTTAAGGGTTCCTCTAAGGGTTCTACAAAGTTTAGGGTTTAGGGTCTTAAGGCCCTTTAAGGGTTCCTCTAAGGGTTCTACAAAGTTTAGAGTTTAGGGTCTTAAGGCCCTTTAAGGGTTCCTCTAAGGGTTCTACAAAGTTTAGGGTTTAGGGTCTTAAGGCCCTTTAAGGGTTCCTCTAAGGGTTCTACAAAGTTTAGAGTTTAGGGTCTTAAGGCCCTTTAAGGGTTCCTCTAAGGGTTCTACAAAGTTTAGGGTTTAGGGTCTTAAGGCCCTTTAAGGGTTCCTCTAAGGGTTCTACAAAGTTTAGAGTTTAGGGTCTTAAGGCCCTTTAAGGGTTCCTCTAAGGGTTCTACAAAGTTTAGGGTTTAGGGTCTTAAGGCCCTTTAAGGGTTCCTCTAAGGGTTCTACAACGTTTAGAGTTTAGGGTCTTAAGGTCCTTTAAAGGTTCCTCTAAGGGTTCTAGAAAGTTTAGAGTTTAGGGTTTGGGGTCTTAAGGTCCTTCAAGGGTTTTTGTAAGGGCTCTATAGAGTTTAGGGTTTACATGGACCCTAAGGAACCTATCTTTTTAGGGCTCCTTAATATGATTTCTTTATATAAGTCCTTAAAAAGGTAGGTTACGTGGGGTTAAGGTAGGGTTTAGGGTCTATTGAGGCTTTAGGGTTCAGCTTTGCGGGCTTGAAGCTCTGTAGTGCTTGTGAGCATGGCATGCGGATTTGAAGTTTCAAGAGAACTTGGAGGGGCAGGGGACGTAGTAAGTAGGTTATAAGCAGGGTTATAACTGGGGTAACTCCATTTAGGGTACTTATAATCTTATAACTCTGCTTATAACCTACTTACTAAATCCCCTGCCCCTCCAAGGAGGGTGCAGGCAATCCCTCACCATATAGGGGCCTCAATAATTAGAGTGGGGTTGTTGGGGGGCGGCATACTATCGTTTGATTATTGTAACGGCACTATAAGGCTACTTTGCACCTTTAGAAATTGCTACCTCATCTCTATCGCAAACTTAGACTTATGTACCACGTGAAAAGAATGTGACCTTCAAGACTTGATGCTGAGCTGTCGGTTCATTGTTTAAGCTTTAGGGTTAACCTTAAACCCCAAACCCTTGGATGCCAAGACGTTGATTTGGATGAGGTAACGGCATCCTGTCGAACCCTCACCCGTCACACGCCTAAACCCCGCACCCTGAACCCTAACCCCTAAACCCTGAACCCTAAACACCCTTAAACCCTGAAGCCCTGAACCCCAAACCCCAAACACTAAGCCTTAAACCCTGAACCGTAAACCCCTAAACCCCCTAAACCCTTTTCAGGCACCCTTCCAACCCAGACCCTCGGAAGGATCAGTGTATCCCTTAATGGGGGTTCCTGTAAGCTACCCTTAGTAGTATAGGGCCCTAAATTAGGGGATCTACTTTCTAGATCCTCCCGGGGGTCTGGGAAGGAACCCCGAACCTATACTGAACTTAGAACCCTTGCAAAATTTCTAATTTTAGCTGTCTCTGAAGTATTATAATAACCAAGAATTTAAACTTATTTCTAAGTACACCTAAGGAACCCCCCCAAAAAACAGATTCCTTTAAAGGAACCCCAGAGATCCCTTTAAAGGAACCCTAGAGATCCCTTTAAAGGAATTCTAGAGATCCCTTTAAAGGAACCCCCGAACCCCAAAAAAAATCCTCCGAAAGCTCGGCCCGAGTGGCCGCTGGCTCGTAGACGCTGTGGCCCACCCAAAGATCCGAGGATCCGGTGTCGAAGATCACCTGACGGGGGCTCCTTTAAGGGCTCCTTTAAAGGCTCTTTAGGGTTTAGGGTTTAGGGGTTTTGGGGCTTCAGGTTTTGGGGTTGAGGTGTCGAAGATCACCTGACGGCTTTAAAGGGTTCCTTTAAGGGTTCTTTCAGGGTTGATGAATTCATGAATATCAAGAGCGATCCTAGCAGCGTCCCTCCTAGAAGCCCCTTAACTTGACGCAACCCCTGTAAGTGGTGTTAGAAACTTTACCTCGCTGTGTAACCTATTGTGTAGCTGTCGGGCGCAGGCTCTAAACCCAAAACCCCCATAACCCTGAACCCCTAAACCCTTAACCCCTAAACCGCGAACCCCTAAACCCTAACCTGAACCGTAAACCCTAAAGCTCAAGTTATACGAGGTGTCGAGATGCAAGGGACCTCCACCATCTTCGGTGGTGTTCCGATGCCGACGGAACCCAAGTACTGCGTGTTGGACACGTCCTGGAGGCGTTGGGAAATTTAAGGCATGGGGTCTGGGGCTGTCTAGATCACTAATAACCTAATATCCTTAAGCCCTAAAAACCCTAAATCCTAAACCCCTTTTAACCCTGATGATCTGAAGAAAAACCTCAACATTTCAAGATCTTCAGACCCTACCATTGCACTTACAGCTTCATGTTCCAAGTTCCCCATATCCCGAAACCACAAATACAGGTTGAGGGTTTAGGGTTGAGGGTTTATTCGGCCAAACTCGCAATAATGGGTCTGTAATGGTCGAATGCTCACAGATAAAAGGCCCCGCGCCGCCTGCTACCGCGAACATCACCGATGGGGGGAGCCATACTGGGCCAATCAAGTGCTCAAATCCCATGGCTTCTACCGGGTTCCCAAGGTTTACACAGCAAAGCTATGCCTGGAGGAAGCGGAGGCAGAAGGGACCCTAAACCCTGAATCCAAAACCCTAAACCCCAAACCCTAAACCCTAAAACCCTGAAGCCCTCAAACCCTAAACCCTAAAACCCTAAACCCGAAATCCTAAAACCCTAAAACCCTAAACCCTCAAACCCTGAACCTTAAAATCAATTCCCACTCACGGCCACGCACATTGGCGAGGCTCAAAGTGTCCCATCTCGTCGGATATACACCCCTAGTGAAGGTCAACAAAGGGACGAACGTCTTGTTTAGGAGGTGCGTTTAAAGCCTTTGAAAAAAGTAGGTAAGATCCTCTCAAGCCCAATAAGAGCAAATATAAAATGTCCCAAAGCCCTACCTAGTTGTGGTCGTGAGTAACATAAAGTTTCTCAGCTTCCAAATCCGCATGCCCTCCAGGCCCCCACAGGGAATGAGCAGCACCAAGGGCATCATACTCCACGCTCTTCTTAAAAGAATACCAGGAAGAACTCAACCAGCTTCCTGCAACCGGCGAGAAAGTCCCGCCTTTCAACATTGCGCAAGACCACCCTTGCTTGGGCGAGATCCCCCTCCACCCTCTCCAGCTCGCCCTGCAGCCGCCGGACATCCGCCTCGAGACGGGAGATCATCTGGCCGCGAAGCACCGACGTCGTGGATCTGCAGGCAAGGAAATTTTACTGCTTGGGTGCCACCTGCCGGCGCCTGGTACGGCCCGGCAAATGCGCCACCGTACCAGCCAGGAAAGCCGCAGTTGCCCCAGCCAGCCATGGCAATGGAATCGCTCGGAGGCAACGAGTCGAGCTCACACTGGCCAGGCTCCCCCTGGAGCCCTCCCATCCGGGAAGTCAGGGTCATCATCTCAGCACGTACCTCCGCTGTCAGCGCCTTGTCGGACAATGGCTGGTAATCAGTGGTGGTTGCACGACCACTTGGAGGGTCGGGGGACTTAGTAACTGGTTATTTTAGGGACTTATAAGTATCATAACCCCAATTAGGGTCCCTTTTAGGGTACTTATAAGTCTACTTACTACCTACTTACTAAGTCCCCCGACCCTCCAAGCAGACTGCTGGTCCGCATGCTTTTGCCAGCCGCGCAAGTTGAGTGCGACGGAGTCCTAGGGCCCCGGAAAAATCTAAAAAGTAGATCCCCTAATCTGGGACCCTAGCCACTAAAGGGTACATTATAGGAACCCCCTGAAGGGATCTACTTTTTGGGATCCTCCCGGAGGTCTGGGGTTGTGCCACTATAACCTAAACTCCCCCTTAAAGAATCCTTATAGTCAAGAGTTTCCCAAGCCATGCTGTCTCAGGGAACGTGCTGCAACAATTCTTGCGTGCTGCCTCGATTCCTCGCAGCTAATATCATGAGAGCTTCGCAGAATGTGTGTCAATGGGACATAGCAGCATTGCATAGATGGCAGGCAAAGGCAAATGGGCATTGCAAATATGACATAGAAATTATAGGGCGGTTGTCACGACAACCATGGACACCACTGCAATGGCAAGCCCTTTTTTGGAAAGGGTGCGGCGAGATGTCCCGTATGTCTTTGAGCCCGGTTACCAAATGGACGAAGCTTCTGGGTTGATGAGACGGGAGAGGTTCATTCACGTTCTCCAGTATGGGCATTCCTTGTTGTCCGCTGCTGTGCACAATGTGCCTCAGTCTGCATTGGTGTCCAAGTGTAGAAGTTGGACAGTGACATTGAACCGTAATTAGGCAGCCGCCTCGCCTCAGGAGAACATCTCCACCGCGGACTTGATCGGCATCGAGGATGCCGAGTCCATGGAAACTGAACAAGGGCAGGACCTCTGCCGTTTGATTGCATTTCGTTGCTTCGCAGTTTCCAATCCAATTTCCGGGGCTACCTGCTGGCTAGCCAGCACCTCTCACTCTGAGGTGTACAGATGTGCTCCCGAATTCTTCCTGGAGGTTTGCTGTATATTATGTGCCCAAGAAGCATTTCATTCGGCGATGTATATATACAATTAGAGCCCTTTCGCTACCTGCATCTAGAATGGGATTGAGGCTTTCCCGGCATCGCTATGGCAGCCTGGCGATGAAGGACAAGGTGGCCGTGACTTGGCTGAGTTTGCAGCGAATGCCTTGGTCCGTTGGGAGATTGCGACAATTGAGGTCTTCGTGGGCAATTTGATGCGGTTCGCGGAGATGATCGCTGTGAGGACTGTCATTCACCTTACGGTGGATGACTGCAAGGTCTTTGAGCAGCACCCGGCTTTGCAGGACCTTCTAGACCGGGTTTTGATTGCTTGACCGTCGCTGATTTCGGAATAGAGTGAGGTTGTGCTTTCATTATCGTTGTTGAAACAGGAGGCTGCTCGACGCCTGGGCTTTGCGAAATGCCTCTTCCCGATGTCCTCGTTCGGTTGCAGAACGCAGCAGCTGGGACTTCTGGACAAGTGGTTGTTCAAGAGATTTGTCAGTGTCTGCAATGTCAGCTGTTTCATGAAAATCTAGGTCCCTCACGACTTTGTGGGGCACGGACAAGTTCATCATCAAAGGTGTGAAGCATGTTGCTGGCAGGCTCATGAGCATGCTGCTTGATTGCAATCTGTGTATGTGCCCTTGCTATGAAGGTGTCCGGTTCTCTTGCTTGCTGATGCGCCAACTGGTCTCAGGTTCCCTCCTTTGTGCAACCGGCGATCGGGTGGGATGCCATCGACTATGTCGCACTTCGGCTATCACACGGGCACGTACACCTACTGTGCCACTCTCCTGCAATCTACAGTTGTCTATGGCTTGGCTGGTTGGTTTGTGGTTTGGCGATTCAGGTATGCGACTTGGTGGTGGTGCGACACCGACGGAGTGTTAAGGACCTGATGGGCATGAACATGACCAGATGGCTGGAGGACTTGGCAAAAGACTTGCTTCTCCAGGCCGGTGTGGACAAACACATTGTCACATACAAAACTAGGAAATGGTAGTCTAAATGGAGATGCGATTGTTTGTGCCGGGTCCAGGACCTCGATCACGGCTACATGCTGCTGCCTTTGCACGGCAACCCTTATGGCAATTATACTCGCCGGACAATTACATTTGAGGCCACTTACCCAATCTTCATTCTTTGTTCTGGTGCCTGCTAGATTCGCTGTAGATCCATGGGAAAGCTTGCAGGAAGCCGACTTGTTCGTGACGGAGCCAATCAATGCCCCGCCGGTGGCGGTGCCTTGGCTTCTCATGTGCTTGCCTTCGCATGTCTTTGAGAACATGTGCTGCTTCGTCTTGTTTTGTTTTTGTTTTGGGCGGCTTGGGTTTCCGGGCTTGCTGAGTCCACTCTGACTGTGGCGGATGCTGTCGGCCAGGACCGCCCTCTCGTACGCCTTCGGCTAGAAGTAGTGTGATTCTAACCATTCATGCTGCAGGAGTGGGAGATTCTCGGATGATGCTGGCACCGATTCTTGCAGCACTTCGTTGTTCGAGCTGCATGGTGGGTGCGAGTGACGATTTCATTTGCGGCAACATAGCAACCAAGGACGGCGATTTTGGACATATGTATTGGGCGACAATGCACAACGGTTTTGATTGTGCCTTGCTTGAAGTCAAAGTAGCTACTGCTCCAGCAGGCGACAGTTCAGAACTGCCGCGACCAGAATTTCACTGTAGTTAGAACACGAGAACTCCCGAACTCGGACAATGTTGTGTATGCTTGAAGCTCGTGTGCGGCAGCAGTCAGCCTGCTTCTGTAAAGTGTCTGCATTCCATGCATGTACAGTACTGTTTGTACTTTGTTGGATTTCCGTGAATTTTGATTTCAAGAGCTAGACACACACGCGAATGCGAACAAGCCGAGCAGCCATGTTCTAGCAAGCTTTGTATTAGGAGACAAGCTATAAATCACTAACCCGAAGCCTAACACGCCAATCCTGAAAGGTCTACCTTCATTGTGTCCTCTGAATTTAATCCCAAGGGCTGACTCCTGCTTGATTCGGGTCGCATCTCGGCTAGGATTTGCAATGTAGGAAGCCCACTGATTGCCGATCTTGCTGTGGCACCCTGTGCCAGGTTTGTTTTCTTCCCACAGCAGAGAACAATACTCTCAGGGATTTCTGGCTTAGGTTGGAGTTCTTTCTTGTGGGGCTAAGTCGGGCCCAAGTCTTGCAGAAGGTATAACATCCCTCCACTGCTAGAACCAGACAAACGTTGTTCTTAGTCATGATTAAGGCATCTGGATGCTATGTGGAATCCAGGCTTCCACCACCGACATCTTGGCTGCCTGGCCATACTTTTTGGCTGCTCTCACTCGGGCTGCAGTTTCAGATGCTTTGCTTCCGACTTCCGGTGTATCAGTCCGTACCAAGCCAAGGAGCAAGCCGTCGGAAATTCAGATGATCAGCTCTGGATGGTTCCGTGCATCTTGGGTTCAGAAGGTGGGGATTTGGAGGTTTACTTATTTCGCTCAGTTGGGAGGGGCATGTGATATAACTACATTTTATTGCTAGAGCTTTGCCTAGAACCTCCTTGATCAGAGCTGCCTTGGGTAAATTAGCTGGCAGTACGACTGCCCCTGCTTGGGAACCGTGCTGGATTGCAAGTATTCTGGTACCTGAAACAGCAGTCAACCCTGCTTCACTGGTTGGGGCACAAATCAGCACAGGGACTCTTGCTTCCTCCATTTAGAAGAAGTGAGCTGCCTACGATTGCAGCAAAAGGCTCAGCAATCCGACGCTGCACTCAGTCGTTGCGGCTGCTTGCAAAGCACCCTGTGCCTTGGAGTCCGGGTTCTTTCGGGTTTTTCGAGTCGTGCTGCCTAGGAGAGTGGCCAGGCCTTAAAATATCCAGGTTGGGGTTTCGGCGCTTTTATGGATTTCTTCCAGGGCTGCTTCTAGCTAACTGGGTTTTTGGTTCAGCTGCAGAGCGACACGATTGCAACGCATTCCCGTTTCTGTTTTAAGTCTTCAAATCCCCTGACTAGGACCCAATTTGTGCTAAAGCATACAAAACTCCAAGGTGTGCCTTTTGGGCTTCGGATTGCATTCAGGCTCTTTTGTCTAGAGTGCTTAGTGTTCGAGGGGACGGGAGCTTGATCCGACGGCGGATCCGTGCTTGTGTGATGGCGAAGAAAAGTGGCGGCAACCGGCTGCCAAGGACTCCTGTTCTCTTCATGGCAGCGAAGCCTCAGGTCGCTAGGTTCGAGCAATCTAAATAACATGGCAGGAGCCTCTCTACCAAGAGCCTCCCGGCTTCTGGCTCCGTCAAAGAAGAGCCTGAGACGACACCGGACCCCAAGCACTTCCTCTTGAGCACGGCTCGACGCAGCCTTGAGGGTGCACTGTCAGGATCCCCGCCAGTAGCTTTCCAGACACTGAATCCGTGCATCCTGTCCCTACCGAAATCTGTGGCAGGAGCTGTGGATACGCCTACGACGACGGAGAAGAAGGCCAAGAAGGAAACCAAAGCCAAGAAGGACGAAAAGGAGAAAGACAAGAAGAAGTCAAAGAAGAAAAAGAAGAAGAGCCTTTTGTTTTGAACAATACTTATCTAGTCTCGTCACCTGTGTCGATCTTGCTAATTTCCATCCAGCTAAACTTAGTCTGTTTAGCACTGACTCTTTTATCCCAGGCTCTTCCAGGAGCTCCAGCAGCGACAGCCCGCAGCAGGAGTCTTCCGACGAGGTGGCCTCCGACGATATGTTCGCAGAGGCTGCTTCCCTTTTCGGCTTGAGGCACAAAGACTTGGTTCGTGGGCCTTCGGTGTGTCGTTTGGAAGACCTCACAGCCCGGCAGCTAGCATATGTGCTCAGCGGCTTGACTTCGGCTCTACCGGCAGCTGATGTACTCGATCTCGGTGGACAGTTGGAATCTTGTCTTTGTGAAGAGACAGAGACAGAGAGAGCGAGAGAGAGAGAGAGAGAGAGAGAGAGAGAGAGAGAGAGAGAGAGAGAGAGAGAGAGAGAGAGAGAGAGAGAGAGAGAGAGAGACAGAGAGACAGAGAGACAGAGAGGGAGAGGGAGAGGGAGAGGGAGAGAGAGGCACAAAGAGAGACAGAGGGGGAGGGAGCGAGCGAGCGAGAGAGAGATAGAGGGGGAGAGATACAGAGCGAGAGCGAGGTAGAGACAGAGAGAGGGAGACAGAGAGCAGACTTTGTTTGACTTGTGTGCCCAGACAACATCTTCAAGGATCGCTGGATCTCTCTCTGTCTCTCCCTCTCTCTCTCCCCCACTGTGACTGACTCCCTCCTCCCCGACTCTTTCCTCTGTCTACTTAGCTCCCTATGTTTCGTTAAACTCTCCTCTTTTTCCTCGCCTCTGTGTCTCGCCCAGAAGCCTCCCTCTCCCTCTCTCCCTCTCTCTCCCTGTCTCTCTGTCTCTCTCCCTGTCTCCCTGTCTCTGTGTGTGTCTCTCTCTCTCTCTCTCTCTCTCTCTCTCTCTCTCTCTCTCTCTCTCTCTCTCTCTCTCTCTCTCTCTCTCTCTCTCTCTCTCTCTCTCTCTTCTCTCTGTCCTCTATTATTTTATCGTTTTACCTCTCCGTCTGTTGCTTGTTAGGTCCCGGGTTCTCTTCCTGTTGACAAGGAAACACGTAGTTTCATAATGTTCATGAATCCATGAAAGCACCCATGTACCCTGAATCCCAAACCTCCAAAGTTGTCCAGGTATCCTGCCAACAGAAACATAATTCCCAGGAAAGCCACCAGGTGGACCGGCTTCAGAGAGCCCGGAAGACCAAGCAACGGGAGGAAGAGAACGAAGCTGCTGTGAAGGCTTCGTCTTTGTTGTAACACATCTTCAGGTGTTGCTGGTCTCGTGGAGTTATATTAAATTCAAAGATCATAGGTAGTATCTTTGTTGCAGTCCTGGGCAGGCAGGATTGGCAGCCACTCAGTGGCGCAAACGCCTCGCCACGGTGGTGCAGCTCTGTGGTCACCTTAGATGCCAGTCGAAACGGTGTGATGTAGCAAAGTTAGCGGATTGTGCCAACCTGTGCTGTCATCGCCCAGCTGTTTTAGTTGTTAAACTCGAGTCTTGAGCTAGCTGCCTCGACCCGGGCCCTAGACATGGTGAAGCCTTGCAACAAGATGGTTCCTCATTACAGTGCCTGGCTGATCTCTGCGAAAAGCGACCTTATCCGAAAGTTGGGAGAGGATGGGGCTGCAAGCTACTTGGATCTTCACCTTGAATGTCTCAGGGAATCCTTAAAGGAGGCCTACACTTGCTGCCAAACGCCGGATGAGGAAGAAGACCTCTTCGTTATGGCCATAGACAGCCTGACGACCCTGAGGCTGGCATCCCCTTCCTCGCCCGAGTGGATTGCCACAGGCTATGCAAGACGAGAGCCACTGTACTGCGGGCACACTCTGCCTATGATGACCGAGAGAAACATGAAAGTCAACCTAAAAGTGCTAGACTTCTTGTCACTCCACCCAATCTCTCCGGACATGAAGCCGCTGAGTTGGAGTCGCATTCGCGAGTGGCTGGTGTTGTACAGTGCACGGTCAGGTCCAGAAGGCTTGGATGTTTTGGACTGATTCTATTTCAGGGAAAGCAAGGCCTTATGATATGCCAATTCAGACGACTCTGCAGTAGCTGCAGGAAAAGCTGTGTTGCAACGGCCAGGATACTGCAAGCAAACCCCTTTTCATGCTACCGACACGACTATGCCTGGATGTACCCTAGAGAATATTTCTGCCGAGGCACCGGGAAGCAGCTCAACTCCTTGCTCCTCACGAACTGCCAGACCCTACGGGATGGTTGCCTCAGCCTTCGTGCCTACGTTCGTAGGCACTGCAAGACACGAGGCTGCATTTTTGGGTTTTGTGAGGCAAGTAAGTTATGCTTCTGTCCAGACCCCGATTATGACTGGAGCAAACCTGCACCCGGAGCCTCTAAGATTAGAGTCCACGAATTCCAGGAAGCAGGGCTGGGCCCGTGACCACTTCGAGAAGGTTCTTACGGACCGTGTGCAGGTGCTCTCCCAGGCCTGCCTGGTAATGCTGAGGCTGCTGTGTTTTGAATTTTCCAGGTCTGCTCTGCAACTTGTCTGCTGCTGACTTCTGCATCCTGCTGGCCTAATGATACATCCTCTTTTCTCTGGGGTTTGCAGCTCCCTCTATCTTTTTGCGAGGAGGCGAGTGCCGAGTTGCAAGAGTGCTTGCTTGGTGGTGCCAAGAAGCGAAAGACCGAGGACCCCAAGAAGATCAACCCAAACAAGGTGCGCCGGACCTCGAAGCTCCCTGAATCCCCCCAGAAGTCTCCCTCCTTGCAAGACGACGACGAAGAGGAGGAGGAGGAGCAGGAAGGAAGGAGAGACAAAGGCAAGGATGCAAAGGCAGGAGAGGAAGACTCAGGATCCGAGAAGTCCGCCGACGGTGACGAGTCGGACGATGACCTCTTCAAGGATGGTTTCTCCCAAACCCCAGCAAAACCATCCGGGCCTGGCCTCTTGGGCCAGCTCCCCGCCAAGTACACAGAGATGGCAGCATCCTTCGAGCCGGCTTTGATGAAGACTTTCCCCGCAGATTTCTCCAGGCCGTCTAATCGTTTGCAGCCACATAACTAATGAACCCTGGACCCCAACCCTGAAACATCGCCAATCCTGGTTCTGGTTCCATAATCGCTGAAGGAGTTAGAATTTGTTGTGGAGCTGGTCCTGCAGAGCATAATTCCCTAGATGGTTCCCAAATGCAGGTCTGACTTGATCTGCTTTCTCAAGACGCTGCACAAGGAAGAAATCGTCAACTTGGACACAGCCATGGATGTCTGTGGGGTCGAAGGCACCTGCTGTAAGTTCGTAGTAAAGCCTAAGGCCTAAAACCTCAAAGCTGACTCGCTCTTGTCTGGAGAACTTGGTGGGGTTTGTGGTCTGCGGCCCAGGTTCACACCCCCACAGGTCCATCACATAGCCCGAATTCTTTAGGTGCCGGAAATTCATAATCCTTAGGTTGTCCTAAGTAAAAAAACCGGTTACCCTGAAAGTTTCAAACCCTCAAAGCCAGAGATCTTTGCTGGCAGGCGACCTCGCCGAGCACCTTGGCGAGTCCAGGCCGCACTACGATCGCTTGAGTCTTCGTGGCAAGCGAATGGTCACTGCTTGGCAGAAGAAGATTCTTGCCATGCAGGCTTGCTCTTGCAAACCAGTGTGCTCTTCAACTCTAGTGCTTCAGGGTTTTGTGCTGCGAAAATCTGGAAGGCCACTCCGAAGCTCAAGGAGCCTGGGCAAGAGACTGCTGAGACCTAGACGGTTTTGTGGGTTGGAGATTGAGCTTAGATGTTGCTCTGATCATCCGACCTCGGGGCCTTGGAGGAGGCAGCAATACATGCTGCTCCGAATCTTGGACATGATGAGTCTGTGCTGGGGTGCAGGAAAGAAGCAAACCCTCTTGGAGAGTGCTATGTGCAATCAATTAGAAGACTTCGCATGTTTCGGTAGATGAGGCCTCCTTGCACCTCACGTCTTGCTCAAACACAGGAGGGCATGGCTGATCCTCTTCAGTATCTGTGTGTATACTATATCCAAACCCGAAGTGTTGCATCATCCAATGTAAAAACTGACACGAGCCCTCTTTCCAAGTTCTCTCTAGGTTAGGACTAGGAGGTCCTGATTTTGTTTTAACTAGCAAGAAAAGCTAATATCAACTCCAACAGAAGCTTCCAATTCCCAACCCGGATCCCAAAAAACCCAAGCCGAGCCTAGGCCTTACAGGAACGAAACCCGGCGAAACCATAAGCCGAACAACAACCCCAGAAAAAATCCTCAGATTGTCTAGGAAACTAAAATAACTTCGCAAGCCACCAGACCCGACCCTCCAAGCTTTCATCCTTGCTTGCCAATTGGCACTTGCACTGCTTCGTCTTCGCTGGGGAGAGCCTGGGCTGCAGGTTTGTCGGGTCTTTGCTTAAGGCTTAAGGTCAGACTGCAAGAGCAGTGCTGGGTGTCTTTTTCCAAAGTCCCCGAACCCTAAACCCTTAATACTCTCCAATAGGGTCTCCCAGGCAGGCTTTCGTGTCCGGGAATCCGTGGGGCCGAAATTGGCCTGGGGCTTCCTGCTTTAGTTTAATCTTTAAGTGGGGTCCTCGGGTCTTTGGGGTGTTTCCTGCGTGCTGCCTGGATTCCCAGCATGCTTGCTACGTGCTGCCTCGAAGCCTGCATGCAGGGTGCGTGCTGCCTTATACTTGTACGTGCTGCCTGGCAACGCAGCGTGCTAGCTCAAAAAAAAATTTCACGCATGTCGCGCGACGTGCCGACCGAAAAAAGTTGAGGCAGCATGCACTTATTTTAGAACCCCGGCGAAAGCGCCTAAACCCCAAAACGTCGAAGCATCTCGAAAAAGACCACATGCTGCCTCGATTTGGGAGAGTGCGTGCTAGCTCCGCGTTTTGTGTTTGGCACGTGCACGCACCACCCGCACGCGCGCACGCGAGACAGCAGCCGCGCGGTGAAGCGGAATGCGGTCCACACCCCGAGCCCCAACTCAGGAATGGCGGAGACGACCTGGTTCACGGAGCGCCTCCGTGAGCTGTGTGAGCACCTGGGCCTGTTTCCTGCGTGCTGCCTCGTACAGCGTGCTGCCTCCTGCCTAATGATTTGCTTTCTGTCCTGCCAGGACCGAGCCGGATTCGAGGGATGCCCTCCGAGCGAAAATCCGCGAGAAGATCGAGTTTGTAGATTCGTGCATTCAGCACGGACGTGCTTTGGGTCAGATTGCTTTGTCAAAAGGACTCTGGGAGGCACCTTCGGCTGTGCTTCGTGATCAGAATGTCCCTTTCTTCATACGACAACACAAGAGTTCGGTTGCTCATTCCTGACACAGGAGGCTGTGGCTAAGTTCCGGAACAGATGCTCCGAGTTGGGTCTGCCACTGCGGCCAGAGCTCTTCCATGACCCGGAAGAAAGGCCAGAGGCTGCAGAGCCGCAGCAGCTGGCAGAAGCTGAAGCCACATCCGCCTCGGCAAGTTCACCAGAGAAGATTCGCAGCCCTACGAAGATTCTGTATCTCAAAGCCGCAGCTGGAATCAATGGTGTACTGCAGCTACACAAGGCCATGAACAAAACAACATGCACTGCACTCTGTCGCATCCACATGTCAAACAGGCCCTGGATGCCACTCTTCAGGGGTATGTTCATTTATGGAGAGTTGAAGAGATCTGGACAGTGTTGCAGCGAACCCAAAAGTTCCACAACTGGTTCAGCAAGCTGTCTCCTGGCAGCAGAGCAGCTGTGCAAATGTCGTCTCATTCTGTGGCCCTGTAACCTCAGCTTGCTTTTTTGGCAATGAGCAATGAAACCTAAGGCCTGAGCAGCAGGGCACCCAAATTGCAAAAGCCTGGAAAGTGGATCTCGGTATCCATTTGCCACGCCGGCAAGATTACAAAGGCAAGATTGACATCGTGCCTGAGTCTCGGCTCGTGCTGCCCTTTGATGCTATGACCACACCAGGGCTGCTGTTTGCAGCTCCTTGCTTCAAGACAAAGCCCTGCCCCACCCCTACCCCTACCCCGTAGAACAAAACACAACCGGAACTAACAAGTTGCGAGACACACGTGAGCAAATTCAGAGAAGCCCTTTCCTTCGCTCATGCTTAACTAAAAACAAACCTGTAAATAAATTGCAGCCAAGGTTGGAGTTGGTCTGCAGGTCCGTGGCTGTAAGCCGCCGCTCCAGGAGGCGGCCATGGGATGCCTCCACGTGGTACTGGCAGCTTGTGTGCCTCGGGATCTGGATCTGGACCTACTGCCAGGTTGCCCTGACTGTACCCCGTCGGCAAAACCGGTCACTGTCCAAACTACATTCAGGAAGCTTTCCTGGGCTGTTGCCTATATGTCTGTTCAGGTTTGATTCGTGTGCGCAATTACGAAGTCCAGCTCGACAGCCTGAATGACTTCCTAGAGTTCACCAACCTCAGACAGAGGACCGCACTACAGAACAATCTTGCTGTCCCTGTGGGCCTCATGTTTTCAGGTGGAGGTTTACAAAAATCTTCACCAAGGGCCAGCAGAAACTGCAGACAGGCGACGATCTCAGGTACATGTAGTGCGGCGGGTGCTGCTGCCTGTTGCGATGAAGCATTGTTTTGCCTCTTGTCTTAGGCATCAAACTGCACGTGCTCGCATGGTTTCTGCTACGTGTGCCCTTCCTAGACAGCTTCGAGGACCCGGTGTCTTTCACCCAAACCCAATCCGCTGGATAGCTTGAAACTCTCACGCCAGGACATCAGCTACTCCCGCCTTCAACGGCGATTGCTCCACCGCCTCAGCCAAGCAGCCGAGCAAAATTTCCCCGCAATCCTTCGACCTGACCTACCTGTTCTGCAAGCAGACCATAAACTGCACCCGGCGAAGAAGTGTCTAGCCACCAGCATCTACTTTTCAGATAGTGGGACGGTGCCTTGTGCATGCATTTCACCATGTTAACGAAAGCTTGCAATCCGAGGGACGGTCGGCATCTGCGGCTGGAAGCGAAACCCAAGAGCCAGATTTGTCTTCAGAGATTCCTGAGCAGGGGAGGAGGATTTCTTGGTGCAACATCCGACCAGAGCCTAGAGAATATGGACTTGAAGGGGGTGCTCCCGGTCCATTATAGCAGGACAGTACTTTGGGGATTGCAGCGGTTGTTTTGTCTTTGGTCTTAGCACTAGAAGACTGCTCATGCTAGGACTGCAGCGGATTTCTACTTCCGGTACATCCGGAAAACTGGCGAGATCTTGGCGGAGGTCGGAGTCCCTGCTGTTTCGGACAGATAACCCACTGGTCAATGCAGCAGTCCCTTTCAAGCCGCAGGGCAAAGGGGGAACATCATGTGCATCAGCCCCCTCTCCCCCCCCCGGCGAGCCTGTTTTCAAACAAAACGAGAACAACTTCTCGTTTGGTTTGAAAATTCATGCTTGTTTCCCCCCCGAACTTGTTTACAACCCAGACGAGACAACTTCTCGCTTGGTGTTTCCCCCTTTCCAAGACGGCAGGGGCCCAGCATCGTACGCATGAGCTCCCCCCCTCCAACCGAGCTGCGAAATTGCACTTCAGCTGAGTGGAGGGATTTAGGGGTGCTGGGGTGGGCTGGAGCAGACACATGACATGACAAACACATATAGACAAACACGCACAGACCAAGGAATAACCACACAGCAACAACCACATGCACATGCACATCGTACGTTGCTAACATGACGTAACACGAGCAGACACACACACACACACTCACACACCCTCCGGCCAGGAACACAGTCACACAGGTGTACACACACAGACACACACACAATCACACACGCACAGACACACACATACACACACACACACACACCAAGTTACCAATCTCTTCTCGTGAGTCAGTGACAGGAGATTGCCAAGATGACCCTGAAGAGCTTCAGTGTCCTCTGCGACGCAAGTCCCAAGGGCCACATGAGTGCTGCTAGGTCGCAGCAACTTTGTCGTCCGGAGTGCCAGAGCCATCACTAGCACCGTGTCTCCTAAATCTAAGGTTTGGCTTCCGGTGGTGTGCTGCAATGACTTTGCAGCAGTGGGCACTTTGCAAAAGATGGATCCCCACCACGTGAGTGAGGTGGATACTGCTACGAAGATGAAAGCTGCAGCCCAGATCGCCGGTGCTACAGCAGATCTCCTGGTGGCCGACCGGACCAGCGATGAACACAAGCCCAAAATGAATCTAGTCAATCAAAATCTTCCTTGCAACAGCCAGCTGTTATGTTTGGAGTACTTGAATCTGAACGCCGGGATGTTGGCTCCTGCTAAGGCCTCGCAAGATCAAAGAAGTGCACCAAAAGAAGCTTGCTGCCAAAGAGCAGCTGCAGGCCCTCCACAACTGCATCCAACATATGGGCATCAACTTCGACCAGCTCTGGCCGGATGAAAGCCTCCGTCCCATCAACCCGCTGATGGAGCAGCGGCTGTGTCACCGCTTTGAAGGGGAAGACAGGATGTATGTGCACAATGCGATGACCTCCGAGTGCCACTGGGAGCCTTTGAACGGGGCTCACTACCGCCTCGTCTTGGCACCGGACGAGGGATCCTCATTGTTCACGGGCTTTATGTTTTTGGCTTCGAAAGGAGCTGCCATTGGGTTCAACCGTGACGAGTGGTGTTCTGTCTGCACATTGCTTTCTCTCCAGTCTACAGGTTTGGCCTCCAAGGTTAGATGACTGCTTCGAGTAAGTATACACTTCGTTTGAAGTGTGCATTCCCAGCACGTTTCCAGCCAAGTCACAAGCTGCACAATGCCTGCAAGAGCGTCCTGCAGTCCACGAAAGTGATGAAGAGATCCTGGGCTGTGCTTTTGCATGGTCTCCTTAGGAAGGTTCTGTGTCACTATTACGCTAGTGAGTGGCTGTTTTCATATTTTCGGTACACTTCGTTTTGTGCCTACACTTGAAGCCTAGGAATGTACACGCTGACATCGTGGATATCACGCTGCCGACGATCCCCTTGGAATCAGCACGGGATTACATGTTCTCTAAAGGCTGCAGGGGAACGGTACTTGGATGTGGCAACTAGGCTGCCTTTAGGTTCCTATGTCCTAGGCAATCGGATCTGACATAAAAGAAGACTACGGGCATACACCCCAGCACACGCTATCAGACCAGGCAAGACCTGATGATGTATTGCAAGAGATGTTCGGCAAAGACATCCTTCTTGAGACTCTGCGCTGCAATCGCGATACCCATACTTCCCTAAGGTTCCCAAACAGAACCCCACTAACAGCCGACTTGCAGGAATGGCCTCGCGCCAACCGAGAACGAAGATGAGGACTTCGAAAATGTCGTCGGCATTCTCTCGAAGTTGGTGAAGCCACTCGGCTTTCACAATGCTTCTGTTTGTTCTCTTCGTGGCAACTGCTCTTTCTGAGTTGCCCCTGGGTTACCAGGGTCCTAGGCTATCGCAGTCTGATTCTTTTAGGTTGCACGACGATGGCTTCGACTTCTCGAGATGGTGCTCGTGGGCTCACACATCCAAAAGAACCCAATTCACTGGCACACTGCTGCTGTTGTTTTGGACTGGGATCGAGGCGGCTGAAACATCCCCTGTACAACCTAGGAAGGCCTACCCGAACTGGAAAGCCCCAGCTAACCTTCAGCACAACTCCCTGTGAGACCCTCTGTTCTGTGCAGGCCGGCGTCAACCCGTTCCACATTCTCTCCAAGCAGGCCGATGTGGAGGCTCCTGAATCCAGCTTCGAGAAAGTCGTGGATTTGACGGTTCGTGCAGCCCGGCTACATCGTTCGGGGTTTGCAGACTCTGACCTGCCCAAGCCCAACATAATAGCCATGATTCTCCCGTTTCCATCTGACTAAGGCACTCATGGATGAGCAAGTATATGCAATGTGGAAATCCACGCGGGTTTTGATGGAGCCCTTTCGCACGCTTTCTGTGCAATTGGCCACTCGACTGCAGACTCTGACAGGCTGTGTTTTTTGCATTGATCAGACACACACATGTAGTGAATGTAGTGTGCACAATAAACTAAGCAGCAGAATGCCCGCAAGCTGTGGCATCTGCATGGTCACGTGCACAACATGAGCATGAACGCCAACGTGGAAAAAATGCTCTCGGCCCTGGCCTCGCAGTGCTTGTCATCTGATGTCTTGGGACAGAAGCCCGATGTTGAAGTGGCTGGGAACGAGGCCATTGCTGCTGGGCAGCCCGCCCTATACCAAAGTTTGTTCGAGTACGCTTGTGCTGTCTGTAGGAGAACCAAGCTAGTGCCATGTGTTGCTACTAGAGTTCTGGGCTAACTACACTTGTTAGTTCTGTATTAGATTGTAGAACCCTAGATTAATATAGAGCCCATGAAACCCCCCTAACTAAACACCTAAACCCTAAACGCTAAAGCTTACCACTGGTCTTTTGAGCTATACGCTTAGAATAATCCTAAAAACGGGGTCCAATGCGAGACTACGGGGCCCAAACTCTTCGTGAACATACACATGCAACAGGCCTGAGCTCCGTTCGGCAAATTCAAGTCGTGTTTCAAAGCTGCAGCTGCAGCACTCTGGCAACTCCTTCCCGACGAAACGCCCACATAATAACCGAGTTTGTTGTTCTTTTGCTTGGACACGAGCCCTGCTTCAGATCGTACTCGGTAAGACACACGAGTAAGTATCTTGTCATCATCCCAGGAACCCAAAGGCCCCTAAAGCTTAAAAACCCTGCAAGGCTCTACGTGTGAACTTTTCCAGGGACCCGCTGACAGCAGAAACGCTACTCGAGCAAGTGCTTGCCTACCTCGCATGCTGTTTCGAACTCCTGGAGTACGCCTCCTACCTCCGTTCCTTCCCTGCCTTGTCGGCTGCCCTCCTAGCTACAGAAAGCACAGAGGCCACTCGGGCACAGGTTCTGCAGGAAGCAAAAGCAGAGTGGAGCACGGTGTTGGACATGGAAAAATCGACAGCAGGGCAGCTTCTGCTCAAAAAGCACTGCTTGTTCACAACCTTCCAATGCTAGCGCGAACTTCATTCTGTGTGCGAGCGACATGGATACAAATTCGTGGAGCAGATTGGGGAAGTGGTGAAAGCATGGTACCCTGCCTTCGGTCAGTCCAGCAACCTGGAAAACGTGTTTCGCGAAATGGAGTATGCTGTGCGGAAGTCTGGTGTGCCTCAGGACGATTTGACAAATCTGGGTTGTGTGGCTGTCCGAGCCTTGGGTCGCAGGATTTGCAATGAGTCCGAAGAGAAGCTTACACCGGCCACTCCCGAGTTGACTGAGAAGGACTGGGAGGGCAAAGAGGTCAGGGCGCTGAAGCACAAAATTTGGAGCCCCACTTCGGCCCTGCCGTGTGCCTTGCATCACACGATCAAAGGAAAACTGCTAGCTAGCAAAGATTCGCAGTGTTGTTTTAAATTTTCGCCTTCAGACAATGTGCAAATCATGGTGCCGTCCAGGCAAGAACATCCGCTTGGAGGAAATCTTGAAGCCGTTCGCAACCACGTCTGCCCATCACTTGACCCATCACGGGCTTAATTGCCTGCTCGCCTGGAAATCAGCCTTCAAGCTACCCCGGTTGAGTTTAACAGATTCTGTACACACCAATCTTTGTGCTACATGGTAGCTAGACCTAGCTTGTTCTTTTGATTTCTCCATGTCAGGAATGGAGAAAGCCCGATCGACGCCTCGAACCACTTCTGGGTTGCAAGCTGCTTTGAGAGAGGAGTTGTTTTTCGGCACGAGGGCAAATTCTTCATGTGCACAGGCAACACCTATGCTGTGATTCATGTCTCCTGGATTCATTTGCTGGCCATAATTACAATTAACTTTCCGCATCAACAGTTTTGGTTGGTCTAATGAGAAACAGGGACCGGGGAAGACTAGTCGTGTTCTATTCGCAATTTCCTGATTCTGACACCTAACCTGAGGCTATCGCTTTGCAAGAGCTTCCGTGGTGCTTCAAAGGGCCCCTGCCACCCGCAAGCGGCAAGGAGATCTCCTGTGCTGGCAAGGCCAAAAGAAAGACTGAGGATCCTTTCCAACACTCAGAGGATTCCACGCCGGCCCTGTGCTTCCTGAGTGGGCCGCAACTTTGACGAATGTGTTTCTTCTTGCTTTTGACGTTATAAATAAGAAGGAGCTCCGTGTTTCTTGTCTTTGCCACAATTTTGCTTTATTTCTTTGCAACAGAAGCACACAACAAGGAACATCTTTCGACATGTTCGCATGACACCGCAGCAGGTCACTAGATCTGCACATCATTCGTTTAATTTTCATTCGAGGTACTAGGAAAAGCAGAAGAGAACCACTAATATCCGCGATGCCTGGGCTTCATTCCCTCTTCAGGCTGAGATCTTTCAGTGCACTTTCCACGTTGCAGATGCTGCCCTTGCTGCAAAGACAGGCAGCATTGTGATTCGGAGGGCCCCAAGGGGCTGGAGCCTCCTGGTGTTTTTGTTTCGAACAGAACGCATTCTTACAATCACATCAGCTGCACTGACTGAGCTTCTCCTTTTGGAGGGCATGAGATTGCCGAAGAACGCTGCAAAAGCAGCGAAGATCAGAAAGCTCATGGAGTCTACTTCTGTGGCCGAGCACACAGATCAGAACTTGAGGGACAAGATCGAAGCACAGCTTTTGCATCAAGATCAGAAGAAAAAGCGAAAGGGCGATACAGGCGATGAGCAAGATGAAGAGGGCGACGTGGAGCAGGCCTCCAAACATTGCCAGTCGGGTTGTACTTCATGTCCTCAAACCCCGAAAGCAAAGACTTGCTTTTTGTTCGGTTTGTGTCAGAATCCCCAAGCAGGCAGAGCAGGAGATCGATCCTGCTTGTGTTGCTTGTGAGCAGCTTCTCGCTGACCTGGACAGAGAGGAGGAGGCTGACCGAGTGGACGCGACTGGGCCGATTTTTAACATCTGTTCCCGTGTCAATTACAAAATAAATGTTCTAGACCTTTGCAAACTAACACAAAGAAAGCATTCCACAGACCCACATTGAGTATTTGTTCCCAGAATTCTGTCGGTGACGAACCCTTACTGAACGTGTCTTTCTTGGTTGTTTGCACACCTAAGTCAATGATCCCAAGGAAGAAGGGGAAGCTGCAGTGGAAACTGCAGAGGAAAAGGATGCGCGGCTGCGGGCTTCAAGGGCTCTCTTGACAAAGAGCAGTGCTGTTCCGAGCTTTCTTGTGGAGAAGTTTGCGGTTCCGGCTTGGGGCTTGATACACCATACCGTATCGAAAGATTCAGCCAGTCCTCTGTTTCAAGCGAAGCTGGCGGGCAAGGACATCTTCGAAGGGAAGAAACTCGGCTGAAACATTGAAGTTTCGTTGTTACCTCGAAGTCCTTTTTAGGTAATACTGTACCAAGCTTTCAATCAAAGCAACAACTGATCACAAGGAACAGCTGTGCTTGCTCATACAACAATGCCCTGGACAAGAACTTGCTTGACGAGTCGAAGCCCTTACCGAAGCAGCTGCCGCCGGGGAGGAGATCGATGACTCAGGCCTACTTCATGGCCTGGTCTTGGCTTCAGAGGGCGGACCCTTCAAAGATCTCCCGAGGATCCAAGAGAAAACGGTCCTAGACCCTGTGAGCGAGCATCAAACAGCATCAGTTCACAGCAACAAAGTTACAATCGTACATAACACACTAAGAAAAATGCTTGCCCCCGGGACATGGGTGCCATCCACAGCGAAGCGTGTGGACTAGCCAGTGTTTATCAGAAGACACGAGGCATGCAGCCGAGGAAAAGAAACAGTCGAGACAGCATGCACCAATCCTTCCAGCATGCAGGCCGAGGGAGAATGGGAAGGGAAAGCCTTGATATAGAGCCCTAAATCCCTAAACCCTAAACCCCTAAACCCTAAATCCCTAAATCCCTGAATCCCTAAATCCCTAAATCCCTAAATCCCTAAACCCTAAATCCCTAAAGGATCCCTTAAAGGAGCCCTCTGCCGCGAGGGACTCTGCCTCGAATCTTAGGCCATCCACCGGTGTGTGTTGAACCTCTCTTCACCCCTGAACCCCAAACCCTAACGTGTATATATATATATATATATAGTAGGGTCTCTAATATAATTTACGGTAAATTCCTGAATTAATAGGATATTGGAGTCTCTAGGTTCTTACTACCCCAATACGCCACAGAGATGCAAGGTTAAACTTTCTGATTCCTACTAAACTACAAGAACCCCAAACTAGGATGCCCAGTAACCTAGGAATAAAAAGGCCTCTTTTTTTGGTATTGGGTAACTTTATAAGCAACCTAGGACTACAAAAAGGGAATAAGGGTACTACTGGGCATCCTAGTTAACGAAGCCTGTAGACCCCTTTATTCAAAGGGGAGAAGGAGGGACCCTTCATGGGGACCCCTACCCTATAATGGGCTATATAATGGGTATATAATAGCTATATTAGGGGTATATACCTAGGGGTCCTTATTAAGGGTCCCTCCTTTTACCCTTGGATGATATTTCTACTTGAAACCTTTAAACTCTAACCCCCAAATGGGAGTTTCCGAACATGTAGGGGTAATTGCATTATTTTGGGGTCCTTATAATAAGGATCCTACTATTTGGGGTACTATATTGGGGTCCCCCACTTTCGGAAACTCCCAAATCAAGGTCCTAAGGGTCATAAGAACCCCCGGCAGAGCCGCTCCGTCAGAGGGTCCGCCTCCTCCGAGGGCTGAATGCTGCGGCCCCTGCAGGGTTTACATTTGCTGTGGGGGATTTGAGGGTTTAGGGTTTAGGGTTTAGGGGTTTAGGGGTTTAGGGGTTTAGGGGTTTAGGAGTTTAGGGGATTAGGGGTTTAGGGTTTAGGGGTTTAGGGTTTAGGGGTTGAGGGGTTTAGGGGTTTAGGGGTTAGGGGTATAGGGGTTTAGGGGTTTAAGGGTTTAGGGTTTAGGGGTTTAGGGGTTTAGGGGTTTAGGGGTTTAGGGCTTTAGGGCTTTAGGGGTTTAGGGGTTAGGCGGTTAGGGGTTTGGGGCCTAAGGGGTTAGGGTTTAGGGGTTTAGGGGTTCAGGGTTTGGGGTTTACTGAACATCTCCGCAGCAGTCGGTTGCATCGACAAGTGGTTTTGTGGTGTCCGACAGTATACTCCCCAAACCCCATGTCAACTTCCAAGGCCTCTAAGCCAGGCTATAGCAGGGCTTTAACAGTTTGCTTCTCTTGATCGGTGTACAGTAGACAAGAGTTGACTGTTTTCGGGCTCAGGGGTCTTACCAGGTACCATGGATGCCGTGGCAGTAGGATGTCATGTTTTTTCGGGCCTATTTTCCGTCTGCATGAAGGTCTATACTACGAGCAGCCCACATGGGCAGGATTTCACTTTAGGGTTTAGGGTTCAGGGCTTAGGGTTGCAACGAACCTAATACAGGAGGTCTGGACTCAGTTGGAACAGGGTAATCCTTGGAGCGTCGGGGGGCGGGGGGGGGGGCCTACTAAGTAGTTATTTTCTAGACTTACAAGTTATAATAAGCATCATACCCCCAATTAGGATCCCTTTTATAGGGTACTGGGAACTCTACTTATTGTCTAAGTGCTAAGTCCCCCGACCCTCCAAGTACTAGGTATTCAAACCTCAGGCTCCCTACAACAACCCCAAACCTAAACACAACACTGGGGGTTGACCAAAATTATGGGCTCTTTTGGGGTCTGTATTATATGATATTCCTTATAGTCTAGGGTACCAAAAAGGGGCCCAGAATTTTGATCAACCGCCACTCTCATGCCGATTAGATACTTAGTAGATATTCGCCCTCCCCCCCCCAAAGTATATACTGTATTAGTAGGTACTCAGTAGTTAGATATGCAAATAGAAACACCAAACCCTACTTGAAGGCTCATGGGACTTAGAAAGTAGGTAATAATTGGGGTTATAAGTCCCCTCAGTGGGGTTATCCTAATTATGACCTACTTAAGAGTTAAAGCCTTATTTCCTAAGTCCCATGAGCTTGTGAGTAGACTCTAAACCCGGAACCCTGAAAGGGAACCCCATTATGGAACCCTAGAGTACCCTGGAAAGGAACCCGAAACCTTACTTACTATGTCCCGAGCCTTTAAGTGCCGTACGAGATGAGTTTGGTTTTTCGGCTTTTGCCACTTCAAGCTCGGGCCCGTGCAGAAAGAGCATGGGCGAGCTTTTAGAGGTGTTGCCTGCGCCATTGAAAACCACCAAAACCGTGCTTCAAGGTTTACTCAAAGGCTCATGGGAGTTAGTCATCGCCAAGAAAGATTACGATACTAAGGCTCGGAATTTGGGTGCCTGAGCTTCGGTTGCACAGCACTCGCAAGCAGCTTCGAAAGCCATAAGCTACTTGCCTTGAGGGTTTTGGCTTCAGGGTTTGGGGGATGAATGTTTAGGAATGCTGCGAGTTACTCTGGGACGTACTTTCTTGGCCCGGAATGCCTGAGCCAAAACCACAGTCCTGACTGACGTTACCTACTTGTCCAGTATTTGGGGAAGTGAAGGTTAATCTTTGGGAGTATATTAGGGCTTTATCGGGAATACAGTACCCAACAAAGTTAAAGGCTACCTACTCTACTACCACATTTATTACAAGAATCGGCTTTCTGACACCCCAAATCTGCACTCTCCAACAATGACAGGAGCTCTGAATACACTGATCATAGGAACCCCTCTGCATATAGAGCCCTAGCAGTAGGCCAGTCGGATCTTTAAATCAGGTACCCTATTTCACAGGGTTCAGTGCAACGTTTTATAAGGCTTAAAGTTCTCACACAAAAGGGGCAGAAGGTTGCCGGCTTCCGAGAGCAGGTCTGTGGTGTTCGCTGGCCCATTTGTACTGGGCTCTGCGAAACGACATACAATACAAACACTGCACTAAGCCCGAAACCCCAGACAAAGCCTAAACCCTTGCATAATCCAAACCCGAACTGATCCTGAAACGTAAATTCTAAGCTGTCCAAAAACCCCTCAAACCCTAAACCCTAATCCAAAGCCCCAGGCCGAAACACCGAAGACCACCGCGGCTCGCCTCGCCATGCCAGCCGCCGGCGACGGCGCAGCCGAATTCTCTGGGCAGCCATGGCTAGAAGTGAGGAGGGGAAGAATCTTCCCGTCACTTTAGGCTTTAGGCTTGATGCTGTAGGGTTTAGGGGCGACGCACTCATCGATCGGTTCGAAGATTTCTTCGGGGATGTGCTTTTCTGCATTGTGCAGTGGCTGCCCTCAGAGTTCTTCGGCACTTGCATGTTTGGGTATCGGGCCGAGGTTTACAAGTAGGCGAGTTAAAACAAACTAGACTTCACTAAATCCGTATGTCGATGCCTTATGCGACCCGATAGACTGCGCGTAAATCCTTACAGACACCGCAAAACCGATATCGACCATGTAAAACCACTACAAAGCTCCGAAAAACAAAAACAACATCCTACAAGGAGCCTTCAAAACCCAATGATAAACAAAAGACAAAAACAACGAGAACGAACGCGATGGCTCGGGGCACTTCTGCGTGTGACAGGTAAGCCTCCGAGCTAAGAAGGCTGCGGCCAGTTGAGGGTTTAGGGTTTAGGGGGCGTTTAAGGGATCTATAGGGTTCAGGGTTTAGGGGTTTAGTGGTTTAGGGAGTTTCGGGTTTAGTTATGAGGAGTTTATAGGCCTAGGGTTAGGGTGTGGGGTCTAGGGCCTTTCTTTTTCGAGGATTTAGGTTCAGGGGGCAGGCGAGGGCCCTTCGGGGGCGCGGCCTTAGGACGCATGGCTGAGGGGTTCAGGGTTTTAGGTTTGAGGGTGAGGGTCTCAAAGGGGGTTTCCGGTGGCTGTGGGTGTCAGTGTAGTGAGCCGTCTGACCTGGGTGCCAGGGTTGTAAGTAGGGCTCGTTAGTGCGATTAGCCCAAACCCGAAACACCTAAACCCCTAAACACCTAAACCCTAAACCCCTAAACCCTAAACCCCTAAACCTTGGCTCAAGGGTAATCAGGGCCGAAAGAGTTCAAGCAGGTGGGCAACTATTTTAAATCGGGCTCAGGCCACCCT